AAACTCATAAACACTTACATTGCAGAACTACCCTTGTGCACTCATATGAATATTTGTAGGTATACATCACACACTCCATTGCAGAATATTACTATAGAGAATATTAGATAAGTCCCCCGAGTTGGTACAAGACCACCTTTTCCAAGCTCTGAAGTTTCTTCCCTCCCCCAACCAGCCCTCTAAACCCATTCCCTAACAGACAAACCAAAAAGTTAATCTCCTCCTAGGTAAAGAAAGTATACTCCAACCAATTACAACAAAATCACTGCAATGGATTCTCAACCAAAGCACCATTCAATTGTAAATTTCAATCAACTCTCAAATTCTTGTGATCCAGAACAGGGCCATCCATTCCATTGACACAATCAAGCCTATCATAGAGACACAATCATCATCTTTCTTTGCTCTCTGAGCACATAATTTCTTACCCATACTACAAGCTCACCATCTAGAGATCAGCCTTCATCAAGAGACAATAAAATAAAACTCTCATCTTCATAGTATTCCCCTCTAATTGATTAACACCGATATGATAAATGTTTCATGCTGGTATCATTAGCAGTTTGGTCTAACCAAAAATTCATACAACGCTAACTATATTGCATATGATCTTAAGTTCACTACAATTTTGAGCATAGTGTATAAAGGATAGTACAAATTCTACTTAGCAGCCATTAGACAAAGCCCATGTAATATATTGAACAGTGAACCATACAGATCAATGAATGCTCAATATTATGGCTACCCAAAAAGCAAAATCCGACACACACAATAACAATAGAACCCAGAAGGCAAAGAAATGAGATGTAATGAAGAACGTAAAGCGAAAGTTGTACCTTGTTAGTGAAAATTTTCTCTCGCTTCACGCCCCCACGCAGACCGAGCAAATCATCTGAATCAGCCCCTGAATCGTTTTCTATTGCCACTGGTTTATCAGGATCACCATCCAAAACCACACAGTCATTGTCCTCATCTTTTGCTATAAACCCCGCAACAACACCCGAAGACTTCAATCTCTGCATTGGGTTCAGCACCACCATCCCTATAGAGACTAGAGTCTAGAGAGAGATTTGATGGAAGGATTAGACCAAGAGCAGGCCTGTGTGTTGCACCGTTGCTTGTCCGGAGATTTGGGGATGGGACTTGCCTAAGAGAGGAGTTTTGCAGGTTTGCAGGTGGGTTGGATGGGGACTCTACTGATTTTGGGGAACTTTTGCAAGTGGGTTGGGTTGGGTTGGATGGGATTTTTTTTTGGGTGGAGGTGGGCTGGTAAATTTTTTTTTTTTTTTTACTCTGGGCTTCAGCCCACCGAAGCGCACTAGTAGATCCGCCCATACACTTATCAATATATTGTTTGGAAATTGGATTCATCTTGCATAATGTAACATTTTTTTGTGACTAGATTGATATCAAAAGTGTATGTATGCACCAAAAAAAGAGAAATTATAAAGGGGAAAGAAAGGGTGGAGAAGAAGAGGGGGAGAGAGAAAATCCCTTCGCTATTTATGCTTTTGGGCATTAACCATTTTTGACAATACCCTTATTTTTTCTTGAGAAAATTAAAGGAAAAGAGACCATACCTTTTATGTTCTTTCAATATTGTAGAGAGGTCAATCAAATGAAAAAAACCCAAAAATTCGATATTTCTTCCATTAATTTTTCCATCCAAATCAAAGTTGGGTTAATTGGCCCTATCAGGTCTATTTGGCTCTGCACCCATATTGATTATCACAAAAGGCGAAATCTACGCTACCCACAAAAAGAATTGGGGTGCATTGGAAAGGTGGAATAGGATGTGGAGGTCAGTCCTGTGTGGTGGGGGTGACTCTCATGATTATGATGATATAAACTGGGTGGAATTTTAATGAAAGTACTTATTCCAGTTCTCAGTATTGTCCTTTTGTTTTTCACAAGGGTTTGACTTAAAAATGATGAGGAAAGCAGAACAGGGTCAAAAGGCTAACCATTGATAAATAGGATGTAAAATCTGAAGATGATCCCAGTAAATGTTTGCATTGAAAATGTTTTGGAACACAACTCTTGTTTGGGAGATGTTTGCAATTCTGTGGCCTCTAGAGGGCGGACCACGGTGCAGGGGTAAGGTTAATCTGTTGTAGCTTGGGCATTACATGTTCATGTCACAAAAACACTTTCCGCAAAGACAGAGAAATATTAAGTGCGTCTGACACTCTCCAAAACTTGTAGTGTCGGGAGTTGCTACTATTTTTGTAACTTTGTGGCTACTCTGTGTCATTCTTTTTCCCCCTAGCTTTTGTGATCAAATGTATTTCTCCTTATGTGAGTGTTCCTGTAATATTTCTAGATTTAAACTTCATATATCTGAGTTCATTAGCTAGTTTATATTTGTCAATGGTTCATGTGGACCATGCATATTAGACAGATAGGGTTTGGGATTGATGCTTGCCTCTCAGGCCTGTGGGTTACTCAAAAACATGCAACCGACAAGTCAAGTTATTGAACAAAATTGTTGCATAAGTAGGTAGTGCAAAGTTTTTCAAGGCGACCAAATAGCGATTCCCCTCTAGCCGTCATAATTTAACAACACCTATGGTAGGGTGATATTTAACAGATAGAAATATCATATGTTCAACAAATATATTGTATATAGGTTGCTTCTTTCACTAGAGGATTTATTGTATTGTTTGCTTAAATTACCATGATTTTTCGTCATGTTTTAACCTCTCTTTTTTTCCATCAAATCCTACCAGATTTTAGCATCTCTGAAGTTGGCGGACAAGTCGAAAGTTCCCAAATTAGTGCTGAGAGCACATGGAATTTTGAGGTGTAATTCTTTCCTTTGTTTTACCCGTGTATAAGTACTCATTTAGGATTAGGGTCCCAAGTATAGTTGGTTAAATAGTTTCTCCTTGTTGTCTTTTGGAATTTTGGGGTTCTCTTTTGAGCACATGGAACTTTGAGATGTTATTTTCCTTTGTTTGACCTCCGTAAAGTACTTATCTCTAGGATACTGAGTATCGTCCCTTGAATATATTTTATCTAGGATACTAAGTTTCTTCTCTCAACAACAGACTTGAGTCCCTTGCTTCTTCATTGGATGATTAAACTGTTCTGATGTTGCTAACTTTCTTTTGATTTTATGTTGTTAAGTTGGACACAACCGTATGGTTTATATTTGGCTCATTTGTTTCAATACTGCACAAGAAGAATTGTACAGCATCTGATTGTGCCATCAAAGTCAGACCACTGAACCTCCTCCTCTCCTAACTTAAACTCAATTGAAAAATGCCTTGCATAACCCTCCAAGTAGCTTTCGAATTGGTGCTGAAATTTCTCGTTTGTTTGGGAATTGAAGTTTAAACGATCAATCGTTTCCATGGAGATGCTGATTACACTTCACTTTGCGATAACTTTTTCCAGGTGAATTTAGTTTATACACGGTTGGTAAATCCACTACTTAAGGTTAATGTGTTGCAAATTAGAAAGTTGTTAGTTGATCTTTCAAACCATGCAAGAAGTTGTTTTTATCGCTCGAACTTTTGGAGTTTTTAAGTTATGATAAAATTTTACCACTACATCAAGGTCAAATCAACGTCACTTAATAATAATCCTACTAAATATAGTATCATTCTAATCATAAAAATCGTAAGGCATGCAGGCCCAAAACTGAACACCAGTAGAGAACTTCTCCTTCACAAATCACAGTAATCCCAAAGTTTAAAGAATTAGATTGAGAACCACCCGAGACCTTAGAACCCCAAATGACACCCCCTACCCAACCAAGCTGGGATACGTGAAAATCTCCCCCACCTGAACCCAAAAGCTTAAAATAGATAAAGAATCACTCAAGACCTAAGGGCCTGTTTCGATTGTATTTCAAAAATTATTTTTTGTTCTCAAAACATTAAAAACTAGAGAAAAGTTATTTGATTAGAATTTTTCAAAAAAAATGAAAACTGAGATAAAAAATCAGAGCATCTAATGATGTTCTCTGTATTTTCAAGCCAAAATAGAAAACACGAAAAACATTTCATCCTCTTTAATGAAGTCCACACTTCAAAGTTTTTTAGCAACAAAGGCCTCCCATTTTTTGTTCTTTCGTCTGCTTGTGCGTGTGTGTGTGTGTGTGTTCAGATATGCATATATATGTAAGTTTTGTGCGTGTGTTTGCTATGTGAGTTGTGCGGGTAGAGATTGTGAGAGGAGATAATGGAGAGAGAGACAAAAAAGACTAAAAGAGATGAGAATGAAGATGAAAATTGAGAGGTTATTAAATTATTGTTCAAACACGTTTTACAAGTTTTTGTTCTTTAAAAATATTTTCTAAAACATATAAACAAACAAGTTTTGTAATATAAAAATATTTTTTAAAAAAAACTCTTTTCCAAAATTAATTTCAAATACTTCTTTTTCGGACGTAAATCAAACAAACCCTTAGAATCCCAAATGCATCTCCTACCCACCGAACCAAAGTAGGATACATAAAAATCTCCCTCACCCAAAGATGCAACGCTCTCGTCACATTTGGCTCCACCCTTGGAGGTGAGAGACCCACCTGGCACAATATTACCTCGACTCTTATATTCCCAATGAGGAAACCACGCGACTAACAAGGTTGTGACGTACTGGGTTCTGCTCTGATACAACTTGTCACGGTCTCACAAAACCCAAAAACTAAAGAAGTTAGGTGAAAAACCGTTCAAACCTTGTAATCCTACATGACACCCCATACCCAACCGATCATGACAATTAGCTCCATTTTGGCCCTTCAAGGACATTGCCAGAATTCGGCCGAAGTAAAACTCGATTCCTGCCACAAAAACCATCGCTAAATGGTTTGAAATCAAAATTCTCCAGCACCCTTCCCTTAATTTTTCTTTTAAGGTATCCCTGGACTCTATCAATTACATTTTACAATCGATATAATCCGCAGAAAAGTAACAAAATTGTACAATAAGAGATGCAAATGGTAAACAAAACATTTTGAGCTTAGATAATTTAGGGAAGATATCCTCAAGTTTTCAACTAGATGCAGGAGGCGGTGGAGGGGGTGCATTGGGTGGAGGAGGTGGCATCATTGACATATGTGGCATCCCTCCGGTCAGCTGCTGAGGAGGTGGTGGTGGCCTCCAAACAGGTGGAGCTGTCATTCCAGCTGGTGGTGGGAGAGGCCTACTTAAAGCTTGAGCAGCTTGTGGTGGTGGTGGCGGAAGCATGTTCGGGGGAGGCGGCCTGAACTGCTGAAATGGTGGGGGTGGCATAGAAGGTGGTCCCATTGGATGACCCAGTTGCTGTGGCTGACCATGCCAAGATGGAGGAGCAGACATCTGCATCGGTGGGAAGACACCACCCTGTGGAGGCGGACGGAATGCTGCAATAGGAGCTGGAGGAACAGCGCCATTTGCAAAAGGCCGTGGAGGTATTGGAGCAGCTATGGTACCATTGGCCTGAGGAACACTAGAAAGCGTAGGAGGTCCACTGGCAAACAATGTGTGGGGCCTGCTCTTTACAGTGGTGGGGTTACTGGCAGCCAACACTCTCTCTGCATTTCATCGGTTGCAAATTATGTCCTCACATATCATAAATCACCAGCAACTACATATAACAATGGGGCATAGATAACTGATCACGTCAATGCTGATAATTCAAAAAGAAACAAATTCATAGCCATCAATGGATCAGATCACCCTCCAAACCCTACTCAATCTTAAATCCCTTACGAGTTTGATTCCGATGCCAATTAAGATCCACCATCCAAATAAGAAAGCAACTTAAAAAGAGTTGATGCCAATTGGAACTAAACCTAAATCCACGTAAATCTGACCCGTAAGCATTTATGGGGGTAGCTTGACAATTTGCTTAGAAAACATATTGCTAAGCTTAGTAATGCTGAAATTGCAATTTTGTTCTTTCTCAAACTCAAATTGAATTTTCTCACATTTTTGGATATTTTAAAAAAAAAAAAACACAACTTTCATTTCATTAAAAGATGAAAAACATAAATAAATGGTGAATAAGAAAACCATCCAAAAAAATAAAAAATACAAAGACGAGAGTAGTCAAAAAAGACTCTGAAGTACAAAAACTTTCCAATTATGTTGGAAAACCAATAATGAAATGTCACAACTTATTTGAAGCCATCACCCATAAAGATGCTAAGAACTTTGCACTATCCCATAACATCTCCTTATCCTCCTCCTCTTCAAAAATTCTATGATTCCTCTCTATACACAACACTCAAAAAATGCACATCGCCACAATGTAGAAGCTTTTTCCCACTCCCAAAACCTCCAAAGATTTATCACAAATAACAATTTGCGAGGCATAACCCACATCAAGAATCCCCCCCCCCAAAAAAAAAAATAAATAACAAAAGCTTTTGCCACAAAAAAATTTGCAATAAAGCAATGAAGGAACAAATGATCAAAAGTTTCTCAGTTTTCCTTACACAAAACACACCAATTTGGAGAAAGATAAATGTTAGGCCTTCTCTTTTGCAATAAATCAAAAATATTCACCTTACTGTGAGCAATCATCCAAACAAGCACTTGCACCTTAACAGGCACTTTAGTCTTCCAAATCCTCAAATGAGGTTCAAAAAAGAATAATTAGGATCATCAATCAAATATTGAAGATAAGAACCACAAGAAAAATTTTCAAATGAATCAACAAACCAAATTCTTTTTCTCTAATCAACATATCCAAAGAAACCGAATTGCAAAAGAAGAAAAGATGACAACTCTATAGTTTCCCTATTATTAAGATTGCGGAAAAAAGTTGAAGTTCCAACCCCTTTGAGTGGAAGAAGTACAAAACAAACTTGTCATAAGAACATTATGAAAACCAACAATCGATGAAACCGAGAGAATAATAGAGCAAAAGGTAAGTCACCAATTCAAATATCCTCCCAAAAACGAACTCTCACCCCTATTCCCCACACTCTCAAACTAATGTACTTTCTAAAATCATCAAAATCTGAAGGGATACATTTCCAAGAATTACAAAAGGATCCTCTACTCACCACGTTAAAGTCTCATCCATTGGCATGGATTTCCATTCTAACTGTTAATAATAGAATGCCACAACGTCTCAGGCTCTAACGGAAACCTCTAAAACCACTTTCTTAGTAAAATCACATTCCTCTTAATCAAACTGTCTATTCTCAACCCCCCTTTTAGTTTTGATTATGACACAACTTCCCATCTAACTAGATGATCTTTCTTCCCTTCTCCACTTTCTTCCCACAAAAAATTCCCCATTAACTTCTCGAAAATTTTAGTTACTTTTTAGAGCATCTAAGAGGCTCATAAAATAAGTAGGTATGCTACCCAAAAACGCTTGAATTAGAGTAAATCGCCCTCCACTTGACAAATAACTCTTTTTTCACCCATCTAATCTCTTTTGCACTCTTTCCACAACCGGATTCCAAAAAAGTAAGGGATAAAGGATTTCCTCCCAATGGAAGGCTCAAATATTTTAAAAGTCACTCACTCACTTCACACCCCAACCCCCTAAGCAATAATACCCACAACTGAACTCTTTGACAACTTCACTTTCAACTGCAAACCAAACAAAAAAAATCCTCACAAATGTCAACTAAATTCATGAACTTCTGCTCCTCTACTAATATGAAAAAATAGTGTCATCCGCAAACTAAGGTGAGAAACACTAACCCTATCATTCCCCACCAAAAACCCTTCCGCTAAACCATATTTCACTCCTCTATTCACCAATGTACTTAATCCATCAACTGCCAAAGTAAACAAAATGGTGAACGCAAATCTCCTTGCCTCAAACCCCTAGAGACATTAAATCTCATGCGTGGCTTACCATTAGCCACCACTGAAAAATTCATAGAAGATAAATAATTCCTAATTCATCATCTCCATCTAGTCTCAAAACTTTTACCTTCAAACACAATCCAAGAATCCCAAATCTACATAATCATAAGCCTTTTCAAATTTAATTTTAAAAATATTCCCTTCTTCACCTTTCACTCTATACTCCTCGAACAATTCATTAGCCATCAAAATGCTGTCCAAAATTTGTCACCCTATAACAAATGCACTCTGATTACCTGAAATTATATCTCTTAAAACTCCCCTCAATCTTATAAACAACACATTTGACAAGATCTTACACAAACTAGTAACCAAACTTATTGATCTAAAATCTCCAATTTTCAACGAATTTTATTTTTTTGAAATCAAGCAAATAAGAGTAGCATTTGTATTCACATCCATCACACATTGTTATAAAATTCCCCAAAAACCTTCCCTAAATCCTCTTTTACAACCTTGCATTTTTGGATACTATATGAAGACTCAAACTCTGTTACTGTCATTTAAGATCCATTGCAGTCGGATTCAAATTCTGCTCATGTTTTTAATTAGGCAAGGAATAGGATCTTGCAGATTCACACCTAATTCAACACATGAACTGTCCTACAATGCAACTCTTCTAACGATATCCTCAATAATAAACTGTATACAATGTTGGAACACGACAAAAACATGTGTAGTCCCGTAGGTAGGTAAGTTTGCACAGGAACTCTGATGAATAGCAAAGTCTGACCTGCTGGGGTACCATGACGCTCCCCCTTAGTGTCTTTCTTGTATGCATAGGACACTGTTATCTGGCGGTTGCAAAGATATTGGCCATTCATTGCCTGCAAATTGAATCAATCAATTCCAGAATCAACAATAATGAAACAGAAAAATGAGTCATGCAAGACTGGGAATTCTTGAAGTAATGTGTTAAACTATGACTTGCAATGCCATTTAACGTCTCTGTGTTTTGAACTTTAGATATCCATTGAAATCTAACTGCCACTATGAGTAAAAGACAATAGCTACAAAAATACCTCAATAGCTGCATCAGATGCCTCAAAAGAATCATAGCTAATGAAACCAAAACCACGGGAGTTCCCTGTCTCAGGATCTCTCATTATCTAAATCAGAAAACAGCAAAAATGAGAATCCAACAGCAAAGAAGCACCAATACAATACGATAAAAAAATTAAGCACAACAAAACAGTGTATCTTTTCTTCAGAGATGATGTATATAGTTGAGAACACCTCTTGTGACAGGCAAACAGAAACTGGATCACACTAACCGACAGGGGCGGAACCAAGATATTTGTTTGGTTGGTTGAAGAGGGAAAAAAGGGGGGAGGGGGGGGAACAAAACAAACAAACGCCTACCGATATACAAAATTTTTAAGTTCAAGCATGATATATACTAAGATTCATGATTAAATTGCTACATGAAAAATAAAATTGATATCAATAATATACAAAAGTTAAACATAATAATTTTTCAAATCTCGGTTATCGTGTGCAAATGACACTATGATAAGTTTCTTAGTAATATTTTTTCGATGAATATCATCATAGAGTTCATGACAAAGTCATAAACTCAATTACTTTTGTTCCAAAACCTAGCTAAAATCATCATCCATCTCGTTGAGAAATTGATTTTTAACTCCTTTGGGCTGAAAATTTTTACAATTTGCATCTCTTCATGTTTTATTGAGTTACAGATCATTGACTTCCCAAAAAAAGTTATGGGAACTACACAAGTATTTTAACAAATTGGGACAATGTATTAACAAAAGATATAAATTCTCTTTGGTAAATATATAGAAGAGTTGAGGCATTTCACATTTATATTACAAAATCTATTTTTTTTTTTGGGGGTGGGGGATAATGACCACTAACTTACCAGAAAGCAAAATATATGGCCATTACATGAACCTTTAAAAAATCAAAAGGGGAAATACACTAATTTAGAGAAAGTCATGGTTTAAAGAGAATGCGTGTGTTTGTGCTGTTGAAAGGTCAGTGGCCTATGGCCCCCCAAGCTTACATATAGCCCCGCCGTTAACAGATAATGGACTACCTCAAGACCTCTCGAATCAAAAACCTTTTTTCTATGAAGAAGATGCACTGTAAACTGTAAAAGACAATAGTTGTCTCCACATTGGGTTGGAGGTTCCTCCAGCCCTACGTCATGGCCCAACTGCTGTTACGAGAGAGCCGGCAATAGCAAGTGGTGGTCAGGGTCATAGCATTCAAGAAAAAAGCATCTTACTTTGGCTTCTTAGACTAAAATCAGATTGACAGCGTCAGGTGCTTGCGCACAAAAGCGCGCGCAGGCATGTGTGTGTGAGAGGGAGAGAGAAAGAGTTGGTGGGGATTCAAAGGATAGACAACAATATCATCACAGAAAGTGGGGGATGCAGGTGCTAGTAAAAAGCAATGATGGTTGATGCTTTCCCTTCCTTTAATTCCTCATTTTCTACAAGTTCAATTGGCTAGATTGTTGCTATTTCTATTAGCAATTAAGGGATTTAAAATTTAAATAAACACTATTTGGATAATTGATTATTTGGCCCTTTTCTATATAACATTTTAGTTCATGGGTTTTTTTTTAAATATTTGAGGTGCCGTTAGTAAATTGCCCCCTTTATGTTCTTGATGATTAATGATCAATCTTTTTGGCAGATACCTAAAAGCATAGTCACTTATAACAAACCTTTATCGTCCATTTTGTGCCCGCTTGAAAGATTTGGTGGGTTTTCATACCTCCAAACCTTAGCCCAATTTTCTGCCAAGTTTGCTTAGCTCCCATCCAGGTTTTAAGTCTTTATATATGCGGTACCTTTTAACTCGGGTCCCCATCCTAGTTTTAACTCATCATAAACATGGTGATTTTAGTAAGTGAACGAAATGATACTCCCCAACCAATCAGTCATGAAGTATGACACATGCTCCCTTAGGTGTGAGTACCAATAAACTTGGCCAAGGTTTCTTTATCTTCTCTTCCTTTTATCGCAACATTAAAGTTCTTGATTTTTTTGCTTGCCAACTTGGGTCTTAAGCCCAGGGCTCCTATGGAGCGGATGCTAGGGTCTGACCCCCATCGCTATTACGAATATATCCAAAAAATAATTATATAAATTTTCCTTACTCATTGATTGGATTCTTTAGCAGCATGTTACCTCAACCATCAAGTTTAGTCCATAAGCTTGATTTCAAACATAACAAATTGCTATAGATCTTCGCAAAATCCTACAACAAAGTGTACTGTGGTGAAAGACAATAGCCAATGTTTATGATAGACATAAAATTTTCATTAAGCAACGTATTACATTGATAATCAGCATATACGGAAAACACATAACAAAGAATTCATGGGATGCAAGAGTGTTGTTTTTGCAAGGCATATCCACATACACTAACAAGATTCTCATGCAGCAACATTACATCATCTGCCAATGCATGACAAAAGAAAAATGACCTTGGGATTGGTGACAATGACTCCAAATGCCATAAAAGTGTCATGTAGAAGTTTCTCGTCTAAATCCTGCAAAGTACATTGGCAAACATTCAAGTTTATATAACCAGCATAAGATGTACAGCAGGATCTATGAGACATGTATATAGACAAGAATGAGTCAGTGAGAGCGAGTGTGTGTGTCTGTGCCTATGCGTGCCTCACCGTGTACATATATATGTTTAGGGCATACGAGAGACAGGAGGAAGTGTGTTTGAAGATTTAAATTCTTACAGGGTCGAGGTTTCCAATAAAAAGGTTTGCTCCTACATCCAAGCTCTTCTTATCTTGTGATGCCTGCAACCCAAGCACAAAACGAACACCAAATTTTCCGTGAAAAAAAAAAAAGCACTAGATCTCGCATTTTATCCATGCAGATACTTCAAAAGCTGGAAAACATATATTCATAAGTTGATACATGAAGTATTATAACAAAGGATGTAATAGAAATTAAAATTTCACACCTTATTCACTCGTATTGGCTTCCCGTAGAGTTTAATCATGTTCAGAACTTTTATTGCCTGCATAATTTTGAGAAAATGATCAATCTCAAATCTAAATAACTCACCAAATGAGCATACAGCTAGACAAGAAAGTCCCTATGATTTAAATAGATTAGAAAAGTTATGAACAGCTTAATTACAGTAACAAGCAACACTCACGTAGTCAGCATCTTCTTCACTTCGAAATTCTACAAAGCCATAACCTTGATGAAGATTGGTAACCCTATCTTTAGGCACGTACACATTAACTGCAATAAAAAAAATCCACAAGTGCATTTAACTTGCTAAGATAATTCCAACAAACAATCATGTACATCTATAATGTATTATTCATATATATGTTATGAGAGTATGAGCTATAATGTCCAAATTGCAATTCTTGGTGGATCCTCTTTAAACTTATTCAAATTGGCTGATTAACTAACCAGTTGAATGGTTAAAAAACTCCACCCCCCAAAAAGATAAAACAAAAAAAAAAAAAAAAAACCAGCTGAAATTTCACATCTACCATCAATAGGTTTAGCCGGGGCATTTATAACGCGACCCAAATAAGCCTCACTCACTGGTACCTGAGCAATCATTCCTGTTGCTTTTACATAACTTCCTTCTTGGATCATCAAACCATCACCCATTAATACAACATCAACATTATTTGATTCCAAATTCAGAGTAAATGCCTATGGTATCCTCTTCAAATTCTACTAATTCACCTGACATTACTTCATCAAGACCATGAATAAGAGCAATTCCATCACCTACTTGAAGTACGTTCAATCCGTTCACGAATAATATTACTAATTTCGTCAGCTCAAATGGTTACCATGAGTAGTTCTAATTTAAATTCTTTTTTGAAAAAAATAATAATAATTCCTACATTTATTTCTTTCATCGCCCCCAACATGCTAATATTGGCACTGATGGTACGTTGTTCAAACAATTATCTAGAGTTCCTAGAGCTCCTTGTAAGGCTTGTTGGAAAACCCGTTGTTGGACTTCATTAATTGCCCTTTGTTGTTCAAACCCCAAACCCCCCCCCCCCAAAAAAAAAAAAAGGGGGGGGGGGGGGGAGGTAGGCAAAAGAGTGTCGAGTCTAGATGTGGGAATTACACACAAGCTTCATTAAACAAAGCTGCAAAATGATCGAGAACCAAAACCTACCAACAGGGCCTGCTTGGACAAATAACTCCCACAGTAATTCTTCAGTGACCTGCAAGCAAACAAGAAACAAGCATGAGCTCACAGATGTTCAACCAATAATAGAATAGTAAGACGTTAGGGAAAAAGAACAATTCAATCAGCTCGTGCTGGACAAAAATGTACTTCAATGTATGATTAAGCCACTCAATTTTCTTATTCACATAAAAATCCTAAGAACAGTACAACCAGACCTTCATTCATGTGGTCAGAAAACTCAAGTTATAACTAATCGACTCAGATTGATTGATATTAAATTCTAAGCAGCATCAATACGACTGATCAAAAAGCCCTAGAAGCACAAAACCCAACATTATGAAAGCATAAAGCTAGCAATGAAGTATATGAGTGTATAACTCGGTAACCTGGGGGTCAAGGTTGCCGACATAGGCGGTGGCGTCTTGGTTCCTCTCGGCGGAGTGTTGGCCTAGAAGGTTTGCTCCGACGCCCGGAGCAATTCGCGTCGTCATCGTGCTCTCACTCTCTCTCCTTCACGTTCAATCTCGAACGAGGGCTGCCGGGCTGGCTACTGTCTCAGGGTTTTACCCTAATCCCGTTCTTTCCAGCTGGTTTGGGGATTTGGGGGCTCAGAGAACAGCTTCAAACGTTTCTTCGGTGTAATAAAATCATAAAATATTGAGTAAATTATATTTGACCCCTGAAGTTTGTCACTAATACACACATATGCCCTCAAGTATGAAAAATAACATTGTCATCCCTTCAAGTTTGATATGTGGTAACATATAAAGTTATAAACCCTTACTGTTAATGTCTGTCTGAAATACCAACCAAGCATATTTACATCACACAATCCCTAAACTACCCCTTAAATAACCTAGCCACCAAAACCTCCCACAAATCCCAGCATATTTTTATGCAAGCCAAAGATAGATAGGGGTGGTGTAGGAGGCACAACTAGGCTTAAAGGGGGGTTGTTAGCTTCGGGACTAGTGTGTGTATGTGTGTGAGAGAGAGGAGAGAGATATGGATCGAATGAATGAGGAGAAATGCAATCGGGTAGTTTGCATCTTGTGTGTGTGTGAGAGAGAGAGGTGGGTATGGTGGTTGCTGAGTGTGGACAGTGGGCGTGGGGGTGGGTATTGGGGAGGAAGAAGTGTAAAGGCAGTGGGTGTTAGATTATTTTTGGGTTTAGGGCTTGTTTGGATATGGGTTTGAAATATTCTTTGGTTGGGCTTAGGTTTGTTTAGGTGTTAATTTTTCTTGGATAATGGGTAGGGGCTAAAATGGTTTTTTTGTTATTTCCGTCAGTGCCGTTTCCAAGCAGTTATTGATAAGGGGTGTCATTGTAAATTGCCATACCTGAGGGGGCCCATGTGTGTTAGTGACAAACTTCAAGGGGTAAATATCTACATTTATTTTATCGTCAATTGTTATCGCATTAGACCATTTTATATATAAAAATATATATATACTTTTATTTAATGGGTATTTGTCTATTACACATTCCATGGGATGCAGTTCTCTATTTATTATATTTTATTTTAAATATATGAACAACATGGTCACCAAACTCTAATAAGTCTCTATGAAAAATGACCATAACACATATTTATCATTAATTTTTTACTACTTTCGGAGTTGGATGGTTTTTTTACTAATATTACATTCTATGGATTTTGTTTTAGTCCTACTCCTCTCAAATATTTTTGTTTCTAAAGTCTCTCGTCTGTTTTTTAGTTTATTATTAATTCATTATTTACTTTCATCGACTAAAATAATGTTATTCGTTAAGAAAGTGACACGTATACAAATTTATATTTTATAGTAATTCATTATTTTTAAAATTAATGGCTACAAATCAATCAAACCAATATCTATTACTATAAAACAATTTTAAAAATGTAACAATCTTTTTTCTTAGTGTCATAAGCATATTCATATGTAAAATACAATGTCGATTACATTAAGAAATAGTTTGTCCCATTCTAGTTTTATCTAATTATTTCAAAGAAGAGAGAGAGAGAGAGACCCTCTCTACAAAATCAGTAGTATTAATTGAACCAAATTTGTTGATTTCTTTTATTTATGTTGTTGGATTTGAACATTTGATATTGGGATTCATCGTTAATCAAACCATAATAATAGGCAAATTAGTATATCTTAAGTTCAAGCAAAGTTACTCACGTTCTTACCATTCTAAAAAGAGGCGTCGACCAGAGCTAGTAGTGGTTGTGGTTGTGGGTTTTGATGTGATGAGGGTGATATGGGAAGGAGTGTGTGTACATATGTGACCCACAAAAGTTACAAAAATATTTATTAAAATTATAAAATTTGAAAGAGCGATATTAATTTTTTTTTTTTAAGTACCGTAGTCTTCTCCTTTAAAATATAAGAAGGGTAATTTGTCTAAACTGAAAGGAGTACATGTCAACAAGACTCTAAGATTAAGAGGCAGAGTATGATTTAGCCAAATATACAATCAGGGTAAAGTTCTTTGGTAAACTCTTCTGGCCGGACTTAAAACTGTCAGCCAGAGAAGGGGCTTGCAGAGAATAAAACAACAGTTGTATGCAGGGTTTAATAGATAAGGAGGAAGAAGCTGTAGCATTGTAAATGTTGTGATAACTGACTCCAATTCAGTTACGTCCAATCCAATCCTTGTAAGTCAGAGTACACATATAGATAATAAAGCTCAAAAGCTGGAAATGGCCAAATGGTCAATGAACTTATGCTGTCTTCTAGAGCAAAGTTTGAAGTTTAAATGCTTAAAACTGATTCCTTCTTACTCGAGCTCAGTTCACCAAATTGGTGATAAATCATCCTACCAGAACCAGCTCTTTGATTGTGGATGCATCGCATATATATACACAACAACAACAACAGCAGGAAAATAAAAACCCAGAGAGAACTCTCAGGAAATAAACCAGAAAGCTGGTAATTCACATTCACACTCTGCGTAAGTACACCCCTACTGTCAGGTTGACCACGTTATCATTGTCACAAAGTATCAAAATTCAAAAAATAACATACCATATATATATGATGTGCCCTACATATAAGCATGTGATACTAATTGAATTTTGTCGGTATATGCATATGCAATAAACATCCACTTATGGTGTCTTAGTCATAAAGATGAAATATAGCTATTTACTACTACTGCGGACTTTCTATTGGCCACCGTTGAGCACAAAGCTCAGCTGCAGATGCAAAAATATGCTCATCTCTTCAGAAATGAGCAACAATGGGCTAACAGCTTCTAAGTTGATCCTCAAGGAAATCACGAAAATCAGTGTCCGATTCACCCAAAGTGTATGAGAAATGATAATGCAACACGTTGAGCAAGGCCACACATTAGCAGCCTCATTAAAATGACAAAACTTGACAGAAAAAGAACCAAAATTTCAGAGTTATATGAGATGCTGGACACTAAACAAGGGCAATAATTGAACCAAGGTGTTTACACCTCTTCTGAAACATAAAAGAACTTCAACGAAAGCTCCACATCCAGTTCACAGCCGAGCAGCAAAAACTAGCATCCTGGCCAACCACTATTTGCATCACTCATGACAAATGAGCATCGCTGCCACCCCCTATTTGCATCACTCATGACATCTCAGTCAATTGTATCAAATCGCTCCATATTGCTGATGATCAAATCCAAGTTCACTCCATTTACCAAAATGTCTACCAATACTCGTGTCCTGGCTTCTTTTATCTCACCAGGGTTATCTATTGCTCCATATTGCTAATGATCGAATCCAAGTGCACTCTACTTACCTAAATGTCTACCAATACTCATGTCCTGGCTTCTTTTATCCCACCAGAGTTGGCCTCAGACTCGGAGGAAGCCAAACCAAGATCCTCCGCAAGTTTTGTCCAAGCCTTCAAAACATTAGGAGGGAACCTCTTCTTCACAGTCCGAATCAACCCTTTTGCCGCCTTCATTTTCGACTTCTTCACCAACCCTTCAGCCAAATACTTCAACGTATTAAAATCCGGAATCTTATGCGCCCCCACACTCTCTTTAAACACCATGTACCCCTTCTCAAACTGCTCATTCCTACACAAATAATAAATCAAAGTCCTAAATGTTGCCGCATTAGGATGACACCCATTTCCCTCCAACCCCTCATAGACCTTCTTAGCCTCATCCAATCTCCCATTCCTACAATAACAAGTCATCAAATAGTTGTAACTAATCGTGTCGGGTTTCAACCCTGCAATGCTCATTTCCTCAATCAAACCCTTCACATTCTCCGGATCACCACCCTGTAAATTAAATAGCCTAACATTATAAGCCCCAACATCCAGTTCACACCCTCTGTGCACCATCTCATCCCAAATTTTCTCAGCTTCATCCGCTCTCCCTTTCTTATACAAGGCATCCATCACCGTGGTGTAAGTGATAGTCGTTCTTTCCATCCCATTTTCCTTCATATTTTTCAATGTATCCATAGCTAAATCAAGCGAACCCGAATCACAATATGACTTAACTAAAATCCCATAGGACACCTTGTCAGGCGAAAACCCGTGTTTTGCGGGAATTTCGTCGAACAGTTTGGGGACTTGGTCGAAAAGCTTTGATTGATTACAAGCTGTCAAAAGGGCATTGAAGGAAATTGCTGATCTGGGTGTACCCAGATCGTCCATTTGGTTATAGGTTTTGAAGGCGTGGTCGAACATACCGACACGGCCATATGATCGAATGAGGGTGGAAAGGAAGGGTTCTTGGGTGATTTTAGGGTCCTTTTTGTGGGATTCAACGAGAGTTTCGATCTCGGCAAACCGGTGTGACTTTGCTAGGCGTTTAACGGTGAGATCTTGGGCGTAGCGAGAGGAGACTGGAGAGGTATAGTGATTGGAGACGGAGGAATAGATTTCTAGGGCTTTGTCTGGGTCGTACTCAGATTTGAGTTTAGCTTTGGCTTTGGAGATAGAGATGGTAGCTGTTGTGGCTGTGGCTGTGGTGGTGTTGGCGGCGGCAGTGGCTGTGCTTGAGAGGTGGCGGGCATGGCGGAGAGCGAGGGAGGAAGACATTTCTAGGGTTTGAGGGGCTTTTGGGTTTTGGGGAGGAAATGATAACTGAGGGTGGTGAGGGAGACTGCAAGCTAACTCAGGGTTTTTGAGGTTAAGCACGTTAAATGTGAAATCAAAATTTGTCGTTAAGTCTTCTTTAAATTATCTATTTTATAGTTTATAATTTTTTATAATATAAAAAGACTTCAATAATTTCATTACACTTCAGGGTTTTAAATAAAGTCATTCGATATACATCAACGTCTCCTTTAAAATTGACATACATCAGCATCTCTCTTAAAATTATTTACTTCAATCAAAAAAAATATATGATATTATTCATTTATATATTAATTATATATGATTCATATACACTGTCACAATTAGTTAAACATAAATTAATAAATAAATTAAATATAAACGACATAAACTCGTGTCACCCGGCACGATCAACAGATTAAAGTATATGATTTTAAAGTCATATTTTATTTGTGCACTAGACTGTAAATTTTTTATCCAAACAAATAATTTAGACGATGTAATCAAATAATTGCATAATAAAAAACCTGGAGTTTTTTGGTCCACTTAGAATGGTGATAATTTCTCACACCACACCAAATTAACGAGTTACAATTACCTATTAATACGAACAATAAATAAATCTGATTAATATCAAAAGAACAACCATAGTATAACCATTCATTGTACAAAAAATGATGCTTTTATCTATTTTTAAGAGTTTACTTTTTGTTTATAAAAACTCACAGCGTGAATTATTAAAGAGATAATAAAATCTTAAACTTAAATCTTATTATATTTTTAATTCACAAATTATACATACACAATACAATAATAAATATGACTAATCTACATAACACAATTAATTAAATAAATTGAATTAAAATTAATTAGTACCGATCACAACACAAAGACAACCGACACAGTTACCATCCCTCCTTCATACGATGGCGTCGTTATTCGTGATAATATCTGATAATACCAGATGAAGACGTCAAAGGCTGACCATCAACAAGAAAACTACCAAGGGAAAAAATAAGACTTTCACCCAAAAACCCACCACATTACAACTTAGGAAAGAAGCCTCCAACTATCAACTATTTCTCAAATATTCTGACATTTCTGTTATAAAAAGTAATGATTATTAGTGTAATGACATTTCTGTCATCTCTTACCTCGGGCAATACACAACCAAAAGAACAAGAACCTCAATTACAACAGACTAACTTTGCTCTTCAACAACACAAACCACTTAAACTTGAGCAACCTTTGTCATTTTATTCTCGCATTTACCTCACTCACTTAACAAAAAAGCCGAGAGAATTCTATTAGTTGCCCACAAGAGATCAATAAATTATATCAAACTGACTCATATACCTGCATACAAGAGAAATCCAGAGCCCAGAGGACCACCACAAACTCAAGCCCCTCCTCCCAACATGGTATATGCAAGCTTCGAGGGAGTTCAAACCCTTCATCCTGGCTTGTGTCGGTGTGAAATGTGTGCTTGCATGCATTTTATTTATGAGAGAGAGAGAGAGAGAGAGAGAGATGTGATGATGCAAGAAATGAAAAAAGAACCATTTTTTGGGTGCAGAGTTGGGTTTACTTGAGGAAAAATAAGACACTTGGAAACAGAACCATTTGTATGCAGGAATGTGGGCCAAGTACAATTGGAAAAATACATACTATGAAGGTATCTCTCCAAAAAGGTTTGGACAATACCGTAATTAGTCAGTTTTACTCCCACCGTCATTTCTGCACCAAAAATTAGAAAGAGGGCAGTAAAGCAAAAAATGCAAGCTGTATAGTTTAGAACATCAACTCATAAATCATCTTTTTATCAGAGAGATCCTAATAAGACATCACGAAGAGCAGACAACAACTAGCCATCATAATCTCCCTCAGAGAACTTGTTTTCTGGATAGAACACAGCCACAACCGGATTCCCACCAAATTTTCTACCATTTAGGCCAGTTCGAGCTTTAGTTGCACTCTCAACATCTGCATACTCCAAGAACACCTAAAGAAACAAGGCAATCATTATAAGCAAGTGGACTTCAAAAAGTCGATACATCCACATAAATAGATTGCAGGTATTTTTATGCTCAAGAGAAAAAGGACAGTTTGAACAAAGTAAAAGCTGAAGTCCCTTCTCAATAACGTCAGTAACAATCAGCATACTAAGACACATGTCACACATCCAACCATCATTTAATACTGTTCATGTCCTCGACCAATTAATTTTTAGAGCAAACAAAGTTTCTTACATCATCCATCAGCCCAAGGATTGATAGAGTGAGACCACACTAACCTTTCCAAGTCCAGGAACATGTTCCCCATTTGGATTTGGACGTGGAATAACCACATTCACTAAAGTACCTGCCATTTCAAATTAAAAAAAAAAAGTTAAAGACCCAAATTTATATACCAAAATAAACGAGGAAGACTCGGGTAAATATAGAGAGAAGGCAATGGAATCTTCTGTCTGTATGTTAAGGGGGCTGAATCTGTGTAGCAGAATGTGGAACTACAAAAACTGTAAAACAACAGAATATAACAAAAAGAAAATCAATATATGTGCACAAGAAGATTGGCAAGTAGAAAAGAACAAAAGATGAGAATAAACAATAGATGACCAAAAATAGCTTCGAGTAAATACTTACCAAATTTCCCGCATTCTGTTCTCATATCTTCCAATATATCTTCGTAGTCCTCGTCATCCTTGAGCTCATCCGCAGTAACCACATGAGTTAAGCATATAACCTTTGTAGCCAGTGCACCAGGTTGTAACATAAGTCTCTGCAAAAAAAATGATACTAAGAAATGAACCTATAAATGCGTATTAAAGGCTAAGCTGGCAATTTGCACCATGTAAAAGTGATATGACTCAATCATCTGAGTTAGATGTATTTCTTCCATGTAATAATGACAAGACTCAGAATCATCTGACATACATGTATTTTTTTTTTTTTTTGAAAATTATAATGCCAGACAAATAGAAATATAACATTCTTACCTGCATGGCAATTTGTTGCTGTGCATGCAATAATATACTCTCTTGCTCTGGTTTAGGTTGTGTTGTACCCTGGTTAGCACGCCTAACAGTAAGAGTTTTATCTCCCATCTTTATACCATTAAGAGCTGCACATGCAATATCTGTGACCGAAAGATCCTGATAGACACAGAATGCATAGCCTTTTGAGTTTCCGGTTTCTCTATCTTTCACAAGATCAAAACCCCGAAGGGGCCCAAAAGACTCCAGCAGCTCCCTGATCTGTGCCTCTGTGAAATAATAGGGCAGCCCACCCACAAAGATACGGTCAGGGCCCTCGAGCCCACCAGCAGAACCCGGTGTCAAACCAACAGCTGCAAGGTTCAGGTTGGGATTAGGTTGGCTTGGGCCAAGAGTAGCAGCCAGTGATGGGTTGTAATCACTAGGTCTTCTGACCTTAACTGGCGCTCCCTGCAGAACAAAGATACATATAATCGCGTAATAGAAAAGTGCATGAAATATGGCTACATAAAAGAAATGCAATTCCCACATAATATCACAGAACAACAAGGATTTGGCAAGAAAGAAGCCAAAAAAGAAGTACCAAAAAGAATTTATCTTGATGCATGCAAAAGGCTTCTGACAAGGACAATGGCTGTTCACAATGATATCAAGGACATTGTGATGTTAACTATAAAAAGAAATATCTTCTTGATCTGGCTATACCACTATCCTCATTGGATAAGAGAGAGAAAAGCTCACCCATCTTTCCTCAAATCTAAGACATAGAAGGTGGAGAAGGAATACCAAAACATAATTCACACACGAACTTCCAGCCCTAATTGATTCAGGAAGACAACCAAATACCTCAAAAATAATTCCATCTAAGGCCATGGCATTACTGGCCTCCTCAACAGATCTCATCTCCACAAAGGCAAACTTCTTCTCATGGTTTATGTAAACATTGACAACAGCATCCCCTGAACATCACGGAAAGAAACACTTATAGCATCTTAAGAAAGGAATTTAGCTATGCAGCTGAAATAAAATTGGATACTGAAAAACCTGGACCAGCAGTGTTTCCCCCAATTGCAGACATAACATGACTGAAGAAGGTTGCCACAGACTGGAAAGCAAGAGTACAAAGTGCCAGAAACAACCATAATCAAATATTTTGAAGCATATCAACAATTCATAATATATTCTTGAATGCCGTGAATAATATATCAACTTTGATTATCTCAGTTATACATGCCACTGGAATCAACCAAAATCCCAATAGCATACTAGATAAAAGGTGAATTTCTTAAGTAAATCTTTTTATTTCATAGGCATCAAAATCCAGAAGACCAATAAGAATCAGTATTTTATGACAAACTATAAAACCCCGAAATTGGATAGAGATCACACATTGTAGATGTGATAAAAAAAACTTATCAAGGTTCACTGATCAATGGAAGGAGCAAATACTAGAAAGCAATAAGCTACAACAGCATATACCTGTTCATTTGCAGAGGGAGCAAGCCCACCAACATACACCCGCCGAGCATGTCTAGTAGCCTGGCAATATAAAATACCAAGTAAAATGTTAGGAAAAAAAAAAAAGCACAAAATAAACAAAAAGGAAAAGGAACCAAGAAAAAAGTAGTAAAAAATTGATCCTGCCGACCTGCTGAGTCATTGCCTGAACAGGCAAAAGAGGAAGCGCCAACTGCCACATGATAAAATAAAAAAATTAAAGGTAAAGCAAAAGATCTGCATAAATTTCAAAATGCAAATGTCATAAAGGGGAAAAAAAGGTACCTGCCCAGATGCCAGAGGGAACATGTTTGGAAATATTCCTGGAACGGTTGGGGTGGTCCCTGGAATCTGACCTGCAAATTCAAAATGAATTACATCTAAAGAAAAAAAATAAGAAACAACTCTTCTAATTTTCTCTTAAAAAGGGCTAAAACATCGCATTGCTTTAAACAATCACAAGTTTAAGCATTTCCTAGGCTCATAAATCTTATCTAAAGAAAGAAAGAATAGATCATATTCAAATACTGGAGAAAATATTTGTAAACTACCGAAACAGGCAAACCCTGGTGGAAGATGAACAAGACCTGAAGTGTTTCGTCCTTGTACATAAAAGCTACAGAAGTCGGCTCACGCCCATTGTCAGCACAGTGGGGCTAGTAGCCCAACATTGCCTTCTTAGAGCATAAGACAAGACATACAAAACAAACAAACAAACACCAAACACAAGACAAAAACCAAAAAACACTCTCAGTTTCAGAATTATTTCACCAAGTAAACAATTAAAAGAAAATGAGTGAAACCAATCTAGGGCCACCACACTATATCACCATAGGTGCAAATTAAAGAACCAAATACGCTTACCAAAAACGATACCATGAAATTCGAATCGAACTTTCCACACTATATCATCAAAGAGGAAAGCAGCAGTTATCAAATTATTTCAACAGTAATAGATGGTAATATAAGATGTACCTGCAGCGGCAGCAACAGCACCAGCAGCTAACATTGCAGAAGCAGGAGGAGCCATGTCAAAACCACTGATTCTTTTACTGTAAACATGCATCATTAATAGCAAGGCCAGGAAAAAAAAACCACAAGTACAGTGCTTGCTTGTCAACATGATTTACATGAAATATAGTATTCACCAAAACATAAAGAAACTACACAAACATTACAGAAGTTGATCATGTCATCAACTCAAAAGATTATGTATGAATCTAGCACATCTTGAGAGAATATATTATAAAAGTGTTTCTCATGAAAGAAATGCTTGAGGACATTTTGAATCTTTCTTACATTCACAATGGTGTAACACAGCTGTTTTGGACATTATATCAATTGGAAAAGTGCATATAAGTGGACACAACAATTCATCCCACATGTCAACTAATCAAATGCAACCAACAAGAATGAGATTACGCATTTGATTCACAATGCATGATGTGAGACATATAACACCTTTGCAGTGAATGAAATACCCTTCTCCAGACATGATATATTACTTTTACACTCAATTCCTAGAAAAGTTATAAAAAAGAGGGAGGGGACGGGCTGACCAAACCAAACACAACCCAGTTTCCCCATAGATCCTGATATTAGACAATTTACGCTTAACCCAAATCAATGTGAAATGCATGGCTTTGTTACTGCCAAAACCAATTTAAGATAACTGAAGTGACACAAACCTGAGATACATTCCACAGCTAAGTTGGTTACAGTTTCCACAATTTTTGAATGGATTTCCAATAATGCAACCATAGCAATCAACAGGTCCAGGATTTTTCACGTTTGAAAAATACATATATCTCTTTCAAATCAACAGAAAAAAAATCAAATTTTGAATCCAACTATTGATCCTTGAATTTCCAAGCTATCACCAAAACAATAAGGCAATAACACATCACAGTTGCTATTGGTGACTTTTCCAGTAATTTGCTAACTGAAAACAGACCAAAATAAATAAGACCACTCCTAGAATTCTACAGCATATCCAAATAAAATCACATCTCTGCTGAAAAGAACTTAACTGCATAAATGGACCCAGGACATATCAATCTGGGACAACAGTTACACCCTACCTTTTTGAGCGTGAACGAGACCGTGACCTTGATTTATGATCAGATCTACCCATTGAGCGAGACCCAGACCTATGTCTATGCCTGTCCTTACTGTCCCCGTCATAATCTCTCCCCCTGCAAGCAAATTCAATTAGTAAAACTATAAATAAATCAAACATATACTTTCTACAAGCAAAGGAAATAGGTGAAAATGATCAAAATTTATTTATACAATGCAGCAAGAAACACAGTGCAAAAAGGTGTAGTGGTTGATCTGAGCATATCAGTTAATTTTGCATTTAACCTGTCAGCAACGTATCAAATTCCAGAGTTATTAACCTAGTTATCTATCTCCTAGATCTAGGAACAAAGACATAAGAAATCTTTAAAGAAACATAAATAACCAAAAGTGTGTGCAGATGCAAATAGCATTCTGTTTATTACCTGTCATAGTCTCGTCGACTCCTGTGATAATCATCATCGTCTCTATCTCTGCCCCTTTCCCTTCTCTCACTTCGATCCCTGTGACGGTCTCTGTGGTGATGATCACGATCTTTGTCTCGATCCCTTTCCCTATATTTATCCCTGTCCCTTTCACGCTCCCTGTCCTTGTCCCTATCTCGGTCTCTTTCCTTATCGCGCCCTCTCTCTCTATCCTTTTCCCTACTTCTCGAAGACTCTCTTTCATAGTCACGGGAACCATGCTGTGCATGATGCAGAAGTAGCAAACAGTTGGTAAACAAAAATAAACTAACGAGCATAAGAACACCATTACAAAGCAAAGATCCATGAATCCCAAACATCATATTCCCCACAAAAATGATCAGCTTATATGCTGCTCATCAAAATATAATTGAAGGTGTTATGTCAAAATTTGAATTCAGGACTCCAACTGACCAATAAACCACACATATTAATCACAAACAAGACCAAGTCTGCGACCATCAGCATGGAAGCCACACCTTGCAATTCAAAATGAAGACCATGATGAGTCCATTTTCAAGCAAATCATGATTGATTTCCAAATCCAAGGCATTCAATCCACACATCCAAATGCAGAGAGTTAAACACTGCCAAATTTGATAAAATTCCCCAAAATTACAATTACAACCCCAAAAAAGCATTGTACTATTCTAAATTTCCAATGCCAAAATAGTTGTTACAGACACAATCTATCTGTTGATATAGCCCTAATAATCTCGAACGCAATTCATAGGTGATCTTCCAATTACCATGGATGATGGAACAAAAAAATCATTTTCCAAGCCATTAAGCTGGCAACTACTTTCAAGTAAAATAGCTTAAAACGAAAACCTAAATTCCTCAAACCCTGCCCCCCAATTAATTAACAACCTAAATTACACTTCATATTATTAGAACAAAATCATGTACTCCATATCCAACAACCATATAAGCATCTTGGAATTTGGAAGTGGACTTAATGACCACATTAGTATCCTAATTCCATGAACACAATTTGTCTTTAAAGATTCTCCTGGTTCATGAACATGCATGTTCATAATGTACTTGGTTTTTGTATCACTTATTCCACGAACTTTAGAGGTGACCTTTTGACTTCATACATGCACTCTAGTCTTCCTTATTTATTCTATATATTTACGCTATGTCTACATACATGAATGACTTAATACTTCTCAAATTCATTGTCCGGTACAAAGGATAAAACATGAGGAATCAAATTATCAATGGTTCATTAGAGGAAGATGGAGTCAAATTGAAGGAATTCATGAAGCTATATAAAGGAGCATACCATCACTTAGCACAGCATAAGGTTGAATGAGGAAATAGAAAACAAGGGCATACATTTGCACTATTGTAGTAAATCATCTCATAGGATATTGTTGACACAGAAGGGCCAAACACTAAATGAGTTAATCAAGAAACCTAGGTAAGTGAATTTTAGTGCTTTTATTATGGCATAACCCAGGATCCTAATCCAATTATTTGATCTTCTTTGATTGACTAAATTTTCTAACAAAGCATACACACAAACCCTATATCAAGGAATATGCAGTGCATAGATAAATTTTAACGCTATTTTAGACAGGATCTCGTCGTATAACATCAATCAAAACTTCGTAGAGTAGCAGAAAAAGAAATCATGGCATAACTTCCAATATGTATAAATAAAAAGTTATCCATATGTATTATATACGTGATACCTGAGACTTGGAATCGCTGTAATCGTCACCGCCGCCATGGCTACTACCTCTAGGCTGAGGCGAGGAGCCATAGTTGTCGACATCCTCTCCGTTGACTTCGTAAATTCCTTCGTAGTCCGGCATCTTTAGATCTTTTTATTCTTTTCCACCGCCTCTCTCTCTCTCTCTGTCTGTGGAATTTGTCTCGGATCGACTTACTGCCTGGGACTTCTAGGGCTTTCGAAGGAGCGTCCAACCCTATTTATAGGGAGGTCGGTGAGAGAGATAAAAGTTGAATTTACGATCGGTACCTACACGGCAACCAAAGGTCCAAAGCGAAGCAAGGATATTTATGTAAATCAGCTTGGTTTAAGAAATTTTTTATCTCTGCCATTTAAAAAAAAAAAAAAAAAAATCTCAATTTATCCCCGGAAAGATACCAATTTTTTCAATTTACCCTTTGAATGATTAATTGTTCCATATTACCCTCTGAAAGACATTAAAAAATTACAATATAGTCAATCGTCATTTTTTCGTTTGTCATTCGTTTGATTTTGTTATCACGTGCTTTGCACATGATAACAGGAGGGGCTATATTGTAAAATCATTCTCTATGCAAATCCATGTCTTCTTCTACCTAAGTGATTGGGGGAATGTACTAAGAGAGAAATAAGCATCCAAACCCATTACCCATAGGCTTCCATGGAATCTGATACAAAAAAAGTTTTTCTTGAGAAATTCCCAAGCTTAACAACAACCAGCCTAACCATCACGATCTTGCATAGACCAAGACAAAGACCATAACGCCATCGATCCCCTATCGTCTGAAACATCCGCAAAGGTTGAAGAAGCCCAACCAAACAATGCCAAGACAAAGAACAAAGAGTAAGAAGACTAAATCAATACAGAGATTGAAGACTCTTCTTCTCTTAAGACTCCCAATTTCTCTCAAGTCACTGCGGAGATTGATCAATTCACCTCTATTTTGTCGAGCTTAAAAAATGATGAATCCAAACTCTCAAAGATTCCAGAATTCGTGGAACAATTTGTTCTTCTTGTTAAAGCAAAGATCGCGAACTATGATTCAACTAATACCCCATTGAAATGGAGTCAAATCACAGAGGAAAACTCGACAACATTTTTTGAAGCTATGACCTGAATCTTCAAGTTATCAACATCACTTTGCATATTCTCGTTAGAATCAAAGTACAGTTCATCAATCAACTGCATTGGTGGAATTCTACAACGCGCAAATGTCATACTTGGAGGAGGAGTTTAGATATTTTCTTGAAGATTATAAACTTTCAGATTCAGATCATAATAATGACTCAAAAACGAAACAATCTTCATCGTCTCTCTCTAATCAAGATTCAGATCATTGTGTTTTGTCGGAGAAACAAAAATGGGTTTGGATGCTCTCTCTCTCTCTCTCTCTCTCTCTCTCTCTCTCTCTCGGTACATTTCCCCAATCACTTAGGTAGAAGAATATATGGGTTTGCATAGAAAAAGATTTTACAATATAGCCCTTCCTGTTATCACGTGCAAAGCACGTGATAACAAAATCAAACAGACAACAAATAGAAAAATAACGATTGACTACATTGCAATCTTTTAATGTCTTTCTGGGGATAATATGGAACAATTAATCATTCATAGGGTAAAGTGAAAAAATTGGTATCTTTCAAGGGATAAACTGGAATTTTTCCAAAAAAAAGGTGTTAAAAAATAGAGAATAAGAAATCTACGTACAAGAGGCGTTTGTTTGGGTGAATAAAGTGAGATAATAGACTTGAATTGGGTTAAAAAAATGTGGACCCCACAAATCTTAAGTCTAAATTCATATTTGGGATAATTGTTGGGCTTGATTTACTCGGCCCATAGGAATTCGCCCATTTATCTCCTCTGAACCGGAACAAACAACCCACTAATTATATGAGTTAAGTTTTATATCAACCGAATAAAAACTTTTTCACCAATTTGCCCTCAAAACAATATTTTTTCCTGGGGTTAAATTAAAATCAATGGCCCCTTTTACCTTGGTTGCATCGCTTCACTGGACGCCTCCCTCTCTGTCTGCTACACTGGTTTGTTCTCTCTGTCTGCTTCACTGTGATGGTTTGATCTCTCTCTCACTTCGTCTCTTTTTCTCCCTCTTTCTTCCCTCACGCTCTCTCTCTCTGCCTTTCCTTTCTTCGTCTATGGCTCTCCTTTTCTTTCCCATTCCGAGCTTTGGTTCACCGAGTAACAATTTTGTGTCTTTGGTTCACTCTTTGTCTTTGTCTCCATCTCCCTTTCTCGTTGGTGTGTGTATTTGTCGATCCGCTTTTGGATCTTTGGTTCGTCGAGCACATACGAATGTCAGCGAACCACTATCTCCGTCTTGCACTAGAGACACCACTTGATTGTTGTCTCCCCCCTCCCTCTCTCTCTGAAGTGTAGGCCATTTCCGACAATGGCCACAAAAAATTTTGGGGTGGTGTAATCTGTGATGGGTTTGGGGTGGTGCTATCGGATGGTGGATTTGTGGTGGGTTAATTTACTTCATTTTTTTGGGTTTTGAATTTTATTTTTTTTATTGACAATTTGGAGACTATATTATTATCATAACAAGTTTTTTGATTGATTCTTATGAGATACTATCTTGTGTCTATCTTCTGTTCTGCTACTGCTTATGCAGCCAGTCTGTTTTTTGTTACAACTGGTTTCGGAGATTTGACCTTGGTCTGTTCAGCTCGTTTGAGAAGAGGATAGGTGAGATGTAGTATCTCTGTAGTTCTTGTAATTAATTTGTTTCTGGAATAATTTCTTTTTAGAAAAAAAGTATAACTTAATAATATTTTATTCATTGTTTACAAAAAACTACTTACCAAACTAAATCTACCCACCATGACCATCCAAACTTGGCATGTGATTGAATTAAATTTTTTTGCAAAAGATGCAATGGTCAACAAGAGCTCTTAATCGCGCAGCTCATTGGATTACGGTCTAGCTGCCTCAAACTCAATTCTTTTAAGTTGGGTGCGCTGCCCCCTCCTGAGCTTAAAGCTTTATTATACTCTGATTGTAATTAAATTTTTCTTACGTAATTGAATTTTTAATACTGTGTTATTTCTTAAAAAGAAATAAAAAAAAATCATTTAGATTGAGTTGGACTTATGCATGGGACCTACAATTTCTATTATTTCTATCAAAATCAAGTTTTGCAATGGATATTGTTGATTGGATTTAACTTATTCAAGATTATTTTGATCTAAATCTAACTCAATCTCCCCATGGCGATCCAAACACCCCACAAGATTAAAAAAAATTAAAACAAAACAAAACAAATTAAAATCCACAAAGAGTCATGGAGTCGTGTTGTACAACTTGTAAAGGGGTGATACCAAACTTACTAGTAACCAAAGCCCAAAAAAAATTAAAAAACTTCACTCAATCTTGTAATAAAATTATATTCTTTTTTATCTTCAAAAATTGGATTGTTTCTTCCATTTCCTCTATTTATGTGAAAAATACAAGAAGTTCAACTCATAAAAAAACAATCTACCGATAATTCGTACAAAAATAAGTAATGTTTTAATCGTGTATTAATTTGTTTAGATAGTGGGCCGAAAGCCTTAATACCTTGTATCACTGATAAATAGAAAACTGGTTATTCTTACGAAACTTACGATAAGATTGGTGTGAATAGAATTACAGGGTGACCAAGGAAGAAAAAAACTCCCCAAAGCCAACGAATAGCTTTCCACTCAAAATTGAAGTATTGTTATGTGAAATAGAGACAACGTACAGAATCAACCCCCAGGTACAAAAGAAAAGAAAAGGAAGTTGGGTAATCCTAAGCTTTTCTTACTTCATCATCTAACTAGTGAAACTCTTCTGCCCTTCACTATCCGTCTTCTTTAATTCTGCTGTTGAATAAGGATAACAATGTGCGAGCGACTCCTACCACAGTCCATGATTGGTCATGACTCCTCCTTCAGCATCCTAAGTGGATCCATGAACTCTCGATCTGATTTTTTCTTTCCAGGTCACACACGAACTCTCGATCCATGACCTTACCACAAAGTTTTGATAAGTAGACATCAAGGAGCAGACCACATCGCTAAGTAATTAGCAGCAATGTCACAATTTAGCACAAATCTCAAAAATCACCTAGGGCCCAACTGAGTACCCTGGAAACAGCAAAGCAAACAGAAAATCAGTTGTTTGATTAAAGCCAATGACAAAACAGTCCACTGTGAGAAAAATGACAAAACAGGCAACTACAAGAGGATCAAGCTTTGAGTAGTAAGCAGTAACACACTAATAGCAACAAGTTATCATCTACAAAGGTTTCAAGCATGGATCTCAGCCCATGTTTACAAACCAGAACCAACATCAATCTCTCATTATTGTGAAAAAGCAGATTAGGAGATGAATAAATCATCTAACTACATGTGTCAAATATTTCATATGTTGGTAAAAAAAATTTCCCCTTCGATATCAAATACTTCAATCAAACAATAGATAGTACTTTCATAGAAAATTTCATCACCTACAACTATTTTGGATTTCCATCACCGCTTTTCAGGACCCATGCAGAACCTTGTGATACACATAATTCACTTAAGACCTGCAAAATCAAACACAAACGACATGAGTTCAATTCAGGAGCAAGCCAATAATACTTGTACTCAGAAAGCTGAACCTCTCAGGTGTAAAGCCTAAAAATCAGTTGAAAGATGTGGGTCTAGTGTATCAGCAATTTTAGAATTTGCTAGATGAGATGCAATGTGAATGGAGGAATAGAGGCCAGCCTCATCATTCTGGATCAAGCCCAACCCCCCTTCCCTCCTAATGGTATGCAAGCCTAATCCTTAACTGCTTAGCAAGGTTCCTCGAAGAAAGCCGGCTCCAAACTTAGTGTGCCCACCACCCCAAGAAAAAATATAAATATAAAGACCTGACTCATCCGTTCCCTACCCCCACCACATGGTCTAAATGAATATCATTCCCATGGATTTCACATACCTTGAACTATCACTCTCAACTCAACTCAGTTGAAGTCAGCAGAGCATGTCCTAAATATTACTCTCAATAGTGTATACACATTAGCAAATGTTACATATTTTTAGCATCAACTGATCCCAATAATCCATTACAAGGCACCTTTTTGGTCACACTTTGAAAAACGTTCTTATTTACTTTCTTAAATGAAAAGGCAACCAAAATTTGCAAGCAAACTCTGATCCTATAATTGTTTATAGTATAATTCCTTATATACTACTGTTCGAAGTAGCAAAAGATTGTGAACAGAGTGCTTCAAGGCTGTCCATCACTGTCATAAAAAACTCTCTTAAGTTCAGCATTTTCTATAGCCTTTCACAATTCAGGGCCTCTTCGTTCAACTTGGATGCACCATCTAAATAGATTAGTCTAAGCGGCCAATAAGTCAATCTAAAGTAGAATCATAGTTGTGAACCCAAGAAGTCCTTATGAATAATTGTCGAACATACTTTGTTGAAAACTTCATATAATATGGGATCCAGCATACCTCAATAAACATCAATACAAAAATATTAGATTTCCATATCATTAAACATTGATCTCACCTTTTGATATTCATTGGGAGTTATCTCCCTATTAAGTCGCATCTTGGCAGCTTCAACAATAGCAGCCTTTTTAAGCTTTGCATTACGCCCTTCAGCAATAAAAAGATCAATAACAACTTTCCTGAAAATAGAAAAATTAATTTCAGGCCTCAGCATATTATTTGAAAGTAATACGTAGATGTCAGGAATAACCTCAATTCATCATATTGTGGGTGGTCTAGGGATGACTTTAAAACAAAGACATCATGGATATTTATAGCAACTTGACTAATGATTGTCAGAAGCTCCTCCGGAGGAGCATCAACACCATTTGCTGCAGCTATTGCCTCTCTAGCAACTCCCTTCGGACGGGCTGATTCAGATACTGCCATTTCCCGCAAGCGTTGGCAAATTTGTTGAAAGCTGCCAAGATAAAAGATCACTCAAATTTGTCGTTCGTACCAATGAAATTGCACGAGAAAGGTAAATGAAGAGTCATTCTGTGTGATTGTAGGTGAGGGTGGTTGCATGTAGGTATTACAGCAAATATAATAAAATCTAGTTGATATCGCTCAAATGAACTAGTGTTTTACTAAAACCAAATCCATAGTCTCACTATTTCTGCCAAAATAATCCTGCCAACCTAACACCAGTATGCCCAAAATGGCCCTCCTCCCCCTCCCACCCTCAAGCAAAAACTACATTTCTAAAATTAACCTATTTTCCCCAAGTAAGCTGTCAATGAAAAGTTGACATTCAACAACATCCCTTTTCAACCAACATTACTGTCTAACAGCAACTATAACTGTTGCATGCCCTGTAATTAGGGGTGTCAAATATGTTGCATTGGGTCATTTCGTGTCGGGTTGATTTTGAGTTTGTGTCAAAAATTTCAAAATTCAAACATGACATGTTATAATCGTGTCGAAATGTGTAAACACTAACCTGACTTGGCCATTAAACGGGTTACTCGATCCCGACCTGTTTGACACGTTTAATAAACAGGTCGATTTCGGGTTAATACACATAACATGATCTATTTAACTTGTTTAGCACATATAACACAGATCTATTTAACAGACATAACATGTTTTCGCACCAGTTCATTACCATTAAATATATCATTCAATTATTCATCTAAAATTTCAAATAAGTTTTTTACAAATAACATATCACATCTCATCAATGAAATTAATTAAAATGTATTCAAGTTTCAACTCAAAACTTAAAGTAATAACTATACTAGTATACTATCATAATAATGTTAAGAACTATCCTGCCAATTATCATAGTAGAAGTAAGAACTAATAAATAATACTGTTCAGACTACTTCAGTCATACATAATAGGCAAACTATACTGCCATAAACGGGTTAAACAGGTCTACAATGGGTTAGGTCGGGTTCATGTCCGAATTATGTCAACCCATTTAAAATATACAGGTTAATCATGTCAAAATCAGGTTGACCTGAACTCGAAATGATTTTTTTCGTGTTTAATCGTGTTGACCCATTTTAACCCATTAATTCATTTAATTTCGTGTCCGACCCATTAATTTCGTATTCGGTTCGTGTAGTGTCGAAAATTCACAGCCCAACCTGTAATGCCGCACCTATCTTACCTCACATAACACTGTTCCATGGTCCACTAAAACAGTAAAAATAACTGGAGATAAGTAGTTTTCTAAATTTAAAAACTGCTTTAATGATCTACCAACCAAAAAATAAGCATCTCTTTGCCTCTGTCAAATTACATTCAATATAACTGTCACAGCATCATCAATCTAATGTGTAGTCATATGATAGTCAATGACAATACACTGATAAATATTGATCAAGCTTTAACAATGACCAGGTTCTTCATGAATAAAAGCTAGCAAATGCGAAAAGATCAATGCAAATAGCCTCACCTGCAAACCTTGTAAGTCTGGAGAAGTTTCTGAAGGGCCTTTGGCAGAGCTTCACGAGTTTCATCTGACATCGGCATTCTAGAGGGTGTTCCATTAAATTTTCTTGATGCAACTTTATTAGAATTCTTCAAAGTTACAGGCCTATCATCTGAATTAGGTTTCAGAGAATTTTTCATACCAGGCCTGCTTCTCCCTCCAAAGACATGATCAGTTATCGCCTTCTCCAAACGTTCCCAGGCTTGTTCTTGCTCCTTAACAATATTGGAATGTAGTTTTATGAATGACATATCTTGTGGCTCTTTAAATTTCCAATCATTGAAGGCCGGCCTCTCAACAGCTAATACATTCAGTATGCCTTTCATGGCTTTGCCAAGTTGAGGCTGTGATGGTAACTGTGCATTATTGATAACGGGATTTTTGCTGAACAAAAGAAGAATGTAATCTCTAGCTAACGCTTCAACACCTCCATCTCTTCCATATAGAACAGAACTCTTTGGAACCCATAGTCCTTGAACTAATTGAGCAAGCTTTTGGAGGACTCCTAACACGTCTTCAATGGAGTCACTAGGAGCTAGGTGCTTAAGAGCGTCGAACCGATGTACTGGTGGCCCCTATTATGAATATATTTAACACTTAGACAAATTTAATCTGTTGTATGATTAACCTGCTTCCTAAATGAAAATACCAAAAACAGCAAAGAGTTCACCATCAAGGAACTACAGCTCTTTCATATTATAAGAATACCAAAAGAAAATTTATGCAAGTGCAAACCAACAAAAACCACAAGACCCTGCCTGTGTATTGGTAAACTGAGGCAACGTAACCAGAATATGGCAATTGAATTGGGAATAGAAAGAGATACAACAAGATAAGCAGTGAATGAGTCAAACGTGCCACTCCTATAGGATATATACGACTATGATGTACAAAGTAACTCCTTCACATCTGCCACCGTTTAGACGTACATTCGCACATACACATATAAAACTGCAACAGAAAATTAATCATGTAGAGAATAATTTATCGGGTTAACAAGCTGGTTAAAGCATTCAATGAAGTAACTAACCGGAAAGGAACATCATACACTTAGGCATCCTACACACATAGCTGCAACTATTTATCATCATTGAATCAATAGACAACCACTGTAAGAGGCTAACCTCAAGAAGCCAAGTCTTATACCGATCTTCCAGTGGCAACGAAAGCAAAAACCTGAAACGCATCAGCTAACAACTTCAGTGTTGAGAATGTACATCTGAAAAACAAGTGCACAGACTACTCCAGTTTTAACCTACTACGAAAACACAAATAGTTTATATTTGCGCTTGAGTTGCAACAATCAATGCTATGTCCAACCAATAACTGTGTTCCCATGTATGGTCATCTGCATGCTTGTTAAGAAACTTAAAACAGAATGATGGAACAAAACGAACTTCTGGAAGATTGCTAAAGGATTCAAAAGACTTGAATCATTTTTTGATGGGAAAAGACTTGAAATCATTGAGCTACCAGCCATGGAAGAGGAGCCCATTTTCTTGATAAATTCCAGTTTACAGCATGCATCCTTGTTAAGATGTTAAATGACACAGAGAACCAAAAATTTCCCTATTGTCTTAATAAATTCCAGTCTACAGCATGCATCCTGATTAAAATGTTGAATGACACAAAAATGTAAAAAAAAAGTTCATGCAAATCAGGAGTAAGCAGCAGAGTGGCAATACCTTCTAGAAGGACCTTTGGTTTTGTTGTTCTCATTTGATGAGCTAGGACACAAGGAGTTAACATAATCGTACCTTCAAGTTCAAGTAAGAATATCAAGTAAGTAAAACCAACATATATTGCTTCAAGCATAAAACATTTTAATGAAATTGGCTAGAACAGATAAATATTGTGGTCACTATATAAAAGGCATACGGGCTCATTAAAAATTGTATAGGAGAGCCTTCATGTGCCACCATGTTCTCTAGATATCTGGCTGAGACATCACTCTTTGAACCAAAATACTTTAGCGGAACCCAACTCTGAAAGGGAAACAGAAAAATAAAAAAACAATAATAATGATTGCAATCTTTGAAACAAATTAAAAGCATCAGACTTTGTTTTTTGACCTTTGCATCAAGCCAACAGCTTCAGTTACTAAAACAAAAACTGGCAAACCTTTTTTCAAAGAACTTGGCAATTTTCACCACATAAAGAACATACTCCAAGAGTGTAAAAAATATGGTGACCTAGTTACATTTACATGTCACATGAATGAATTGGGAATTAATTCCATTGCTCCATTTCAGAAATAGCCAAGAAAACATGTTCTGCTTCCATAAGATGATTATAATACTCCAGAAATAAAAAAGTTCTAATTGAAATAAAAGCTCCATCCTACTTCAAATACATCCGAAGGCCACTGAAAGCAGATAAATTACGAAAAACACAATAAAAGAGGACTCAGGAAAACAAGCACGTGATACAGATATGGAAGGTATGACCAAAAAAAATACAGATATGGAAGGTACCAGAATCTTTCGAACTCAGCTTCTGTTGATTAAATTATTATTTTTTTACTGATCTTTGTTGGTATGAGATGAAGTTTTCTGTTCTTTCTAGGTGTTACTGATGGTGCTGGCGAAAAAGAATGCCAATGCCATTTGCAGACCTGGATTTTTATCTCTCCTTTTCCTTATTTTTGTTTTGGCAAAAACTGGCTATTCAGATTTCAGAAAGTCGTCTGGTTGTTTGTCATGATAGGTCAGGACTGGATATCCGCTTTTATTGGTTTTAAGTTGTACAGTGTTTTTAATTTTTCAATGAAGCTCACATTCTGGAAAAAGAAGGGTAGGATAAGGAAGCTATACAAAAAATTGAATGCCATTATTAAAAAGTGAAGGCAGTTCGTTAAACATCAGTTAAACTTCAAACATTGAAAAATCATTTCTTGTACCTCTCCAATATCCTTGTTCTGCTCACTCAAAACTCCTAGCTGCTGCTTCTGCTCACTCGAAACCCCCAGCTGCTTCTTCTGCACAGGAATGGTAAGTACCAGGGTTAAACTCTAAACAAAAAAAGTTCCCAGAGTTGACCCATATTTTATAATGTAACAGACAACTATAAGTATGATTCAGACCTAAAATACTGTTTAGCCAATGAACTAAGGATACGCCTAATACATGAAGCATGACAAGTAATATATATTGATGCTCATCACAACCATCACGAATAACTGGTAACTTTATCACTCACAATAACAAAAAAAAAAAAAGAATCAACCTGTTTATTTGATGGCCCCAAGGGCTTTTCTTCTGTAAGCTTTTCTAATTCAATTGTATCCTCAACATTGCTAGTTACGTTGTGTTTATTATTTGAACTCCAAGATTTAAGATGTCGCATTGACGGTCGCAGCTGCACAACTGCATGAATAGGATTGAGGTGTAACTGCAAGGCCAAAAAGAAAACAAAGCATTTCACAATGCATAAATATCAAACAAACATTTAAATTTTAACCACTGTTCCAAGCTTTGTTGACAAATCTCTCAGCTCTTCTATGTGGCAGTAAGACAAATGAGTGGGATAGCCACTATAGAATTATTTTTTTACCAGCAAATTGAGAAATTTGAATAAGACAAAAACCAAAAAGAAAAAGGAAATTGGCATATGTAGATTTACCAAAAAGGAGTATCACCATAATACACGGAAGGCCTATAGATAGAAAGGAACAAATGAACACAACATACACTGTCCATGCTTCTATAGCAATCACGCGGTGAGCTTTCTTGGTTTTCTATTAATTTTGTTAATTTATTTGGTAGAATGGTTTTCTAGATCCTTTACGTAGTTTTTGATTGGTTAGAGTAATCAGATTAAAGGCAAGAAATAAGGGTTATTATTATAGTTTTCTAGCCAATAAAAATGGTTGTACTCGTCTCTTTCAGAATTGGTGAAACTCATTTTGAGAGTTGCAGCTAGTGCTTTGTTTCCTTTGCTAATTTCACTCTCTTCAACTTAAAAAGGGTGGCCTAGTGCACAAGGCTCCCGCAGACTGGGAAGAGTCAAACATACACAGCTTCAACTTATTAAGGTTATATTTCTTCTGCTTACCCTTTGACTTCTAGTCTTCTTTGTTGAGTGCAATTAAAGATGTTAGTTCTCCACTCAAATCTCATTTCAAAACTGTTAAAAGTATTAGAGTAGTATGGGTAAATTGTTAAGAGTACTAGGGTGTTATGTGTATATATAAGAGGGTGTATTTGTCACTTTCTGATTATTGTAAGTTAACTATAAATACAAGTGATGTATGAGAGGTAGGGTTAAGTTTTGACCCATCTCTGTTTCTCTCTAATATTATGTTAATCCTATCAACTTAAAATGGTATCAGAGCAATTACGATCTTAAATATATTAACTTTGTTGTGGTGGTGTGCTACTGTTGTCGAAGCCATCGTTGTGGTGGTGGTTTCTGTTGGTGTGGTGGCGCTGTCATTCGTGGTGGTGGTGTGCTACTGTTATTGTACTATTGTTGTGGTGGTTCCTGTTGGTGTGGTGGCGTGATTGTTCGTAGTGGTGGTGTGGTCTCTATTCATCGTCAAGTAACGCCGTCGTCGTCGTGGTGTGACTGTGGTGGTGTGCTACTGTTGTTTGTCGTGGTGTGTGGCGCCGTCGAAGACCAGGTTCTCCTAGAACCCTAATCAACGAAGAAGAAAGGATCCAAACCCGTGGAGTCGGGTTTGGATCAAATCAGGTCCAGCCCACGGTCTTTAAATTGTTTTAAGTCCAGCCCACGGTCCAACTTAGATCGGATCAATAACGGTTTGATCCCAGTTCATCTTTAGACTGGTTCAACAGTCCAGAGAGCCCATCCGGTCCGGTTCAGCAGTCCAGCTAGTTTTTCTAGCCCGATTCAGTCTTTCAGCAAGTTCAGCTGGTCCACTTCAGCGGTATAGAGAGTCCAGCCAGTCCAGTTCAGTTGTCCAGATAGGTTTTCCAGCCCGATTTAGTCTTCCAGCAACTTCTTTTCCTCTAGTTCAGCATTGAAGTAGTTCCTTGGTTGCTATTTGTTGCACTGTTATGGAACCCAAGCAATGTGACAACTCCTTGACTCCATCTTTGCCACCCACTACTCCTCTGACTCTTCTCAATAGTCCCATGACCTCTGTTAAACTCAATGGGACCAATTATACTTTATGGTCCTGATCCGTTCAAGTTTTTCTTCGAGGTAAAGGATTAAAGAAATATTTGGTGAATCCTAAATTCAAGAAAGGTACTCCTGGGTACGATCAGTGGGAACAAGAGGACGCTCAATTATTTCTTTACTATTGAATAGCATTAAACCTAGTATTAGTTCTACCCTGCTCAATCTTGACACTGTCAAAGAGATATAGGATCACTTGACCACTGTGTATTCTGGTACAGGTAATTTTATCCGTGTTTATGAGGTGTGCGAGGAATACTTTCGGTTGGAGTAGGGTACTCTGAGCCTTGAGAATTATTACTCTCATGTTCGGGGAGTCTGTGAGGAGATGAAGATCTAGCATCCATTAACTACTGATGCAGCAGTTTGATAAAAGCAACATAAGGATCTGAATGTTGTTAAATTTTTAGTAGGATTAAAACCTGAATATGAGGCTATTCGTTCTTAGATTTTGGGTGGTTCTAGTCTTCCCTCATTACTTGAGGTTTCTCTCGTTTACAACGTGCTACTTTGTCTACTCCTTCAAACATTGATCATAGTGCCTCCACAGATCACTCAGCCCTTGTGGTTTCTAGTAGCCACTGTGATGGTCATCAAGGTGGTCGTAGTGGTCAAGAAGGTCGTACAGGATGTCGTACGGATGGTCGTGGGGGCCGTAATAGGCCCTGTTCATATACTCACTGTGGTCGTGGAGGACACATTGTTGATTTCTATTAGAATTTACATGAAAAATCTTCTGGTACTGCTAATCAAGCTTCCTATCAAGATGACACCTCAATTGTTGCTTGCATACCTCGGTCAGCTCCACAGACACCGGGCCAGTTACTATTACACGAGAGGAGTATGCCCAGTTCTTATCCCAGCAACAGGCTATTCCATCTTCTTCCACTGCTACTTTTGCCCAGTCAGGTACTATTTCCACATATTTATTGTCCTCCACTCACAGTCCTTGGATCATTGACTCTAGCGTTTCTGACCACATAACTAATGCGTCTGATGTTTTTTCTACTTATCAACATGTTACTTCCACACATAGTGTTACTCTTGCTAATTGTACTTGTTCTAAAGTTTCAAATTTGGGGACTACTCACTTGAGTCTTGATATATCTCTATCCTCCATGTTATTTATTTCTCAATTTCCTTGTAGTTTATTTTTCATTAGCAAAATTATCAGTTCTCTCAATTATTCTGTAACCTTTTATACCTCTTATTGTGTATTTCAAGATCTCAAGGCAGAAAGAAAGATTGATACGAGGCATAAAACTGATGGCCTATATTACTTTAATTTTGATTCATCTACTCGAGCTCTACAAACCTCATTGTCCCTTTTTCAATAGCATTGTCGTCTTGGATATCCCTCTCTCTAAAATTTGAAATGTCAAGTTCTCAATCTTAGTTATGTGTCATCTTTGTCTTGTGAAGCTTGTCAACTTAGTAAGCATCACCGTGTGTCTTTTCAATCTAGAGTCAATAATCGTGTATCTGGTCCATTTGAGTTGGTACATTCTGATGTATAGAGTCCAATAAAGAATATTTTATCTAATAAATATCCTTATTTTGTGTCATTTATGAATGATTATTCTAGTGTGACCTAATTTCTGAGAAAAGTTCGTTCTGAATTATTCTCTATATTTGATACCTTTCGCAAGAAAATAAAAACTTAATATGGTTGTCGTATACGTATTTTACGTTCTGATAATGCTCAAAAATATGAATCTAATCTTTTTGCAGCTTATCTTAGTAAGACTGGTATTATTCATCAGACTTCTTATGCTTACACCTCTCCACATAATGGTGTTGCTGAACGCAAAAACCGTCATTTGTTGGAAGTCACCCTTGCCCTGTTATTCTAGATGAATATTCCTTTATATTTTTGGAGTGATGTTGTTCTTACTACTTGTCATCTTATTAATCATATGTCATTCTGTGTTAAATAAGCAAAATCCATATTTTGTCCTTTTTCTGGTTAGCCCTTATTTTCCCCAACTCCTAAGGTTTTTGGATGTGTCTGTTATGTTCACAATCTGGGTCCTGAGTTTGATAAACTTGACCCTCGAGCTACCAAATGTGCATTTCTTAGATACTCCCGCACATAAAAGGGGTATCGTTGCTATAATCCTTCTCTGCGCCAATACTTTACTACTATTAATGTCACGTTTGAGGAATCTGTTCCATATTTTTTAGCACCTACACAGCCTTTACATCTGAACTTTGAGTCGTCTCTTGTACCACTATCTCTTCCCTCATCTTCAAATATTCTGACGCCTATTGTGTTACCATCTACTTTACCTCCTCGTGTACACTCTAGTCATCTTCACCTATTGACTGAGGTGCCCGTACCATCTTCCTTGCCGCCTTTTGATCCTGATACATCAGCTAATTTAGACTCTTTACCTATTGCTCTTCGAAAAAGTATTCGTTCATATGTTACTAATCATCCCTTTGCTCATTTTGTTTCATATGATGCCTTGTCTTTTGTCTTCTCTTATTTTACCTCTCAATTATGTGTTATATCTATTTCTAAGCACTTACAGGGTGCATTATCTGATCCGGGTTAGAGGAAAGCTATGGAGGAAGAGATGGATGTCTTACATCATAATAGGACTTGTGATCTTATTCTTTTACCTCCTGGTAAATGAACTGTTAGTTATCATTAGGTGTATGCTATTAAATTTCAACTGAATGGTTCTGTGGAGTGTCTCAAAACTCGGCTTGTTGCAAAGGGCTTTATTCAGACCTATTGTGTTGATTATGAGGAGACTTTCTCTCCTATTGCCAAAATTTCATATGTTCGTATCTTAATTTCTTTAGCTGCTAATCTTGATTGGCCCTTATTTCAGTTAGATATCAAGAATGTATTCCTACATGGAGACTTGGTTAAAGATGTATACGTGGAGCAACCACTTGGGTTTACAGCTCAGGGAGAATACGGTAAGTGTGTATGTCAATTAAAGAAATCGTTGTGTGGTTTGAAATAGTCATCGAGGGCATGGTTTGGTAAGCTTTCAAATGCAGTTTAAAAGTTTGATCTTCGCTGTCACACAGACCATTCTGTGTTTCATGGACAAACGGATGCTGGATATGTTCTATTGGTGGTCTATGTAGATGATATTGTGATTACTGAAAATGATTTTGAGAAAATTATCAAGTTAAAAATTTTCTTACAAGATCGATTTCATACTAAGGATTTGAAAAAATTCAGATATTTCTTGGGTATTGAGGTGACTCGATTTAAACCGGGTATTTGTTTATCTTAGAGAAAATATGTACTTGATATGCTAGAGGATGCAGGTTTGTTGGGTAGCAGACCGATTGATATTCCTATGGATCCGAATCAGAAACTGTTGATGGATGATGGTGCACTGTTTGAAAATCCCAATCGGTATCGCAGATTGGTTGGGAAGCTCAATTATCTCACTATTACCCGGCCGAATATTTCCTATGCAATCAATGTAGTAAGTCGGTTTATGGGGTGTCCTAGAGTACCACATTAGAAGGCAGTTACTCGTATTCTACAATATCTCAAACGTGCTCCTAAACTTGGACTGTTATATCGAGTTAATGGACATCTTAGATCGGAAGGTTTCTCACATGCTGATGGGGTTGGCTCTCCTTCTGATCAGAGATCATCCATTAGTTATTGTACTTTCTTAAGAGATAATGTTGTCTTATGAAAAAGTAAGAAACAATTCGTGGTAGTAAGATCTAGTGCTGAGGCTGAGTATAGGGCAATGACGCATACAACGAGTGAGTTGACTTGGCTATTAGACTTCCTCCAAGAAATTGGATTTTCGATTCAATCTCCTTTACAATTGTTCTGTGACAACCAAGAAAAAATCCATATCGTTGTCAATCCAGTGTTTCACGAGAGAACCAAATATATTGAAGTTAATTGTCACTTTATTTGAGACAAGATACTAACTGGGGAGATTACGACTCCATTTGTGAAATCTGAAGATTAGTTTGCAGATATGTTTACCAAAGCATTGAGTCACACGCGTCTCACAATAATTTGTTCCAAGCTTGAATTATATGATATATATAGTCCAGCTCAAGGGGGAGTGTTAAGAGTATTATGGTAGTATGTGTAAATTGTTAAGAGTATTAGGGTATTATGTGTAAATATAAGAGGGTGTATTTGTCTCTTCTGATTATTGTAAGTTAACTATAAATATAAGTGATGTATGAGAGGTAGGGTTAAGTTTTGATCCTCTCTGCTTCTCTTTATTATTGTCTCTAATATTATGTTAATCCTCTCAACTTAACAAAAACCATTAAACAACCCTTTGTAAACCATAATTGCCTTGTTCAAGACTTCTAATATCAACACCTAAATTTCACAATCTGCACACCATAGTAGAACCAAAACTAAGCTTCATAATATAGTTCTGTAATTGAGAAAGGTCTAGCTTCACCAACACTTTATACCACACCTTTGAAAAATTTCCTATGAGACCCATGATTGGCATACAGGTCTTGTTCAACCCTTAATTACAATTTGACCTAAAATATGTTACAAACTATAACTTCAAAAAACCAATGGGACTTTGATTGGACACCACTTGGAAACTTTTTATGAATTTGATTCAACAATTGATCAAAACTCCTAACAACATCCAAGATAGAAACACTTAAAACAATTAGACTACAATTTCCAAGTCTTTCAAGGTCGGTTTTGTCAAAGACCGTCTCACACTTCTATAGCATGTATATTTTCACTCTTCACGTGAGACCAATAGGTGCATACTTTACATTGCTCAATACAAATCACACCCTCCACAAATGAACAGGAAACACAATTCCCTATGAAGTTAAAAGGCTCATCATTATAATATGGGTTTATTGGTGAAACTTAATTTGCTGATTGACAAAATAACAGGATGTATTCATTGGAGTATCGACTAACTTCTTGACAGGGCATGCTCGTTACCTAGTGACCTTCTTATTTGATGACAAAATTAAGACAATGTTTTGAAAGCTAACTGGCCATATAAAGCCATTTAAATGACCTACTAGCATCACTAGCAATGGTTTATAACAAAACTAAATCAAATAGATACCTTGTTGCCCACGAGAACCCCAACAGCATAGCGACCAGTTGTGTGAGGTGGCTTCCATGAAGATGACAACGTCTTAATGCAACCACAAAAACAATTTCATAAGATTGTGTATAACATTGTTTATGCAAAGAAGTAGGAAGGCATAAGCAGGGTTCATTGGACCACAAGCTCAAATCCCTTTTTCCCTCTTAAGAAAGAAAAAGAGAATGCGAACAAAAAATAAAAAATTATAGAATTAATGATCCAAAGTGCTAGCATAGGTGTGATGTCATACACCAACTTTAAACTATATAACCACAACCATATTCTCGCCTATGAAATATACTCATTGTATGATCATTAAAGATAGTACGGATTGCTGGGTATAGTGCTAGAGTTTAGGTCAAGTCAATTGCACAATACATTAACCCAAGCTCAACAACATCAATATTAGACACTGGACTCTCAGCCCATACCCAACCTTTAAATTTAAAACTCAACAAAGCCCAACCAATGATTACATGAGGATGGATTCTAGCTTCCTAGGTTGCACCAATAAGATTTATCATAACGGAAGATGAGTGTTTATCATAATGGAAGATGAGTGTCTTAATTTGTTATCACAAATATTAAGCAACTGACAGAATGAAGGACCAAAGATTGACATTGAATGAAAAGAGAAGCCCACAACGGTCCCAAGCCACGATGCTACAGTATACATCGGAAAACAACCTTCATGGATATACATGTAGAATCATTACTCCCCTGAATAAGCTATGTATTGCCAATCTCATGTCACACTATCAAACGCATCTGAGTTGCACATTTAGTCCTAATCCACCGGTTACATACAAGGCCTTAGTGACACCTAAAGATGGTCCTCCAATCATAGCCCTAACCCACTACGAGCCTTCTTTTAACACTTTCTTGAAGCATAATGTAAGCCAAAATGTTTTGCTTTTTACAGGGAGAGGCACCAGTCCTTCAACTAAAATAAAAAACGAGATTTAACAACACTGATCAATTAGAAGTCTTTCACACCATTTACAAGTACAAAAAATAATCAAACATATAAAATCACACACCCTCTTGCAGAGTCTAGTGCAAGTAACATAGCCTGTGATTGACAGGAAAGTTCCATACCTAAACTTAGAAAACTGGCAAAAGTAACAAGTCTCATAGACTCATACTAATTAATAATGATAAGGCTTTGCTGAGTTATTCCATTTGAACTGCTTCATTCTCTTTCTGGATTTTAAGTCGGTTCTATTCGTTATGTTCTTGTTCCATCCGTCTTTTTCAACATTCAAAACTTTTACACAAAAATTAATTTCCACCACAAGAAATCGAAATTCGCATCTAAAGCAAAATTCCGATCCTCATGCTTGAAACACTTTGAATAGGTTAATCATTCTCAACAGTCAACAAAAAAACATAAAAATTGAATGTGCAAAAATAGGAATTGAACCTGCTTAGACATCCTCAGTCTTCGATCAGCGTCAGGATCATAATTTTTGGAATCAACATCAACTTCCAAATCAACCTCAACTTCTGCACTTGCAGGTTTCACCCTAACCTGGAAATCAAATCGCACCTCTAACAACCACTATATTTCATTCCATTTGTCCCCAAATACAATTTCTTTTGATCATCTAAATTGTTGACTCATATCCAATTAAACACTTGAAATCATTCAAACATAATTCATGATCATCCACAAGAATAAGAAGAGTAATGCGAATAACAAAGACGTAAGACACACCTCTTCGCATCGTTCGTCCAACTCGTAAGGACGCCACATCGGCCTCAGTGGATATTGCAGAACATATAACTATAGAAACGAAAAAAGAGTCAACAACTAACTAACTAGAAAAATAGTGAGTGTGTGTGTGTGTGTGTGTGTGTGCAAGGAAGGCTTGCCTGAGAGTTGGTATCAGTGGAAGGGGTGAAATAGACATCAATTTCTCGAACAACTTCATCTTCACCACTTTCGACCTCCATGGGATCATTATTTATCGGCTGTTCTTTCCCTTCAGTCTTGGCTTCGACATCCATTTCAACCACGCCGTTTGCGGCGGAGGAGGAAGAGGAGGGCGGGAAGGCTTCATAATCAGCCTTGGCGGTGGTGGAATCAACTGAAGATGGTTTGGAATCTAGTTCCTCTTTCTTTATCAAAGAAATGGAATCGAATTTCTCCGAGTGTGGTGGAACTGGTTCGGATAACGCCGGTTCTGTTTTGGGTTTGGGATTGAATTTAGAGTTTTTGGGGGCGAATCTGGTGGTTCTTTTTGGAGCCTGGGTAAGACCGTCGAGGTCGTCCAGGTCCATGTCCACCATCGCCCTCCGTTTGTATCTCCTTCTGGTATCTGCAGCTGGATGTAACTGTAAGGAGGCTATTCACTGACTCACTGTCGCTGCGTCGAGACTAGCTCACGAGTCAAGGCCTCGCGCTTACAACCAATCAGTTCGGTTAATACAGCTGTTTAGGGTTTAAATATTTGGGGGAAAAACATTATTAGCGGTGTCAGATGAACCTTTAAAAGATTTTTTGAATCTTAATTTATACCTTTAAAGATAAAAAATTTTAATTTATACCTTTAAAAATCAAAATTTATATAAATGTACACCCCCAAAGATAAAAACTCTTAATTTATAACTTCAAAGATAAAAATTTATATCGACATACGCCTAAAACTAACTGTCATCAGTTTGTTGCCTAAAATTAAATTGATAAATTATATTTAGATTTCTTCATGTTTGTCATTTAATCATTTAAATCTCTTTACATTTAAAATATTACTGATACATCATGACGTTTGTACACGTGTAACACGTAATCTTTTTTCATTGATATCTGTTAATATAACCGTTAAAAAATATAATTTTATCTTAATAAAAAATTATAATTTTATATTACCTTTTATTTTATGGGTCCGATATACTCTGAAGTTCAAAATCAAACTTATCATTTGAATGTCTAATAGAATATAGGTATTTATATATTATTTTTTATATGCAATGCAATATATCACTTAAACATAATTATTTGAATACCCAATTGGGGAGACATTTTAAATTGAGAGTATTTTTATTAAGATTTTATAACCGTTAAAAATATTTTGTGAAGGATTTCAAATGATTAAGTGACAAGTATGAGGGAATCTAGATATAATTTATCAATTTAATTTTAGGTAGCAAACTGACGGCAGTTAATTTTAGGTGCACATTGATACAAATTTCTAATTTTGAAAATGCAAATTGAGATTTTTGATTTTTAAGAGTGCAAATTGATATAAATTTTTATTTTTGAAGAAATAAATTGAGATTTTTAATCTATGAAAGTACAAATTGAGATTCAAACGATCTCTCGATATAATTTGCAATTAACCATTTTTTTAATCAATTTGTTTAGTTCAATTAAGCGCTTCTGTTTAACAGGATAACACGCCTTGGAGGGTATTTTAGTAATTCCACTAATTTGGGTATAAAAAATGGCATTTACTGTACCAAAAACCCTACTCCCTAATCTGACGAAGAAGGAAACAACCCTAACCTTCCCGGATCCAATGAAGACCTAAAGATCATCAACTCACAACCCAAAATTCCAAAACCTTTACCCCCAAAATTCAAACGTTTACCTAGAGATCATTGTATAACTACTCCTTATATAACTACAGTTGATTTGAAACCCTAGGAATTTGAAAAACCCTAATTTAACCAATGGCGACAAGGGAAAGCAGGTCAGAGAAGGTAAAGAGAATATTCCAACAATTCGACGCCAACAGACATGGTGGTTTGAACCGAGAAGAAATGATCGCTTTGGTGGTCACCATAAACCTGAGAGTAAAGTTCAACGACGAGCAGATTTACACGATTCTCGACGAGGTCTTCCGAACCTACGGCGAATTTATCGACTGAGAAGGGTCTCACCTTTGACGGCCTTCTACTCACCTACAACGACGGCGTTAGTGACGTGGACCGCGACTTTGATGCCCTTGGACTTGAACTCAACAAAGATAATGACAATAATATCTCCTATGAAGAGCCATAGTCTTCGTCAATTGTCGATGAAAGAATAGTTGACCCCACCAGATGCAATGGACTACGGCTTAGGCGACCACGCCGAATCACGGGATTTTTTTTACATATATTTAGATTGTTTTTGATGAAACTTGAAATCTGGTCAAACCCTAACTCCTTTCAAATTCGATAAAATCACTGGAATACCTTTTGCGCGAAATTATTGAAATACTCTTCTGCCAAGTCGTGTGATGATCACGTGACTCTTTGTTGTCTGAAAAATTGACGAAATTTAAGAAAAGGGCTTAATTGAATCAATTCTGATGGGTGGAAAATATAAGGGCGTGTTTGGTTTGCTTTTTGAAAATAATTTTTTGTTCTCAAAATTTTAAAAATACTTAAATCTTGTTTGTTTACTTTTTTTGTTCTCTAATTTTTAAAAAATTTTGAGAATTAAGATATGATTTTAGAGAACAATAAAATAATATTTTCTAAGTTTCAGGGTAAAATAAAAAACAAGAGAAATAGCCCTCCTCTTTAATGAGGTCCACCTATTAAACTTCCTTAGCGATAAAATGCATTTTTTTTGTTAAGTATAAAAGCCCTCACCTGCTTCTTTCTCCATCTCCACACTCTGTGTGTGTGTGTGTGGGAGCGCGCAACGACACTGTCCAAACAAATCAGAAACGAAACACATTTCTGTGTCTACTTCGGCAAATCTAGACAAAACACACCCACGATCTAGGTTCAAAAACTTTGGCATCTTCCCCAACGTCTTCTCCGTCTTTTCCAGTGTCTTTTTTTTTTCCTACATCTGCGTTCAAGATACAAGTGGTGGTTGTGGGTTTTGGGTAGTAGTTGTGGGTTCAGTGATGATTTGTGGGTTTTGGGTGGTTGTCAGTTTTGGTGCTTTGTAGGTTTCGATGGTAGTCTTGATGCACAGTGAAAGAGAGAGAGACAGAGAGTTGAAGAATGGCGGAAATTTTGGATTATTGTCCAAACAAATTTTATAATTTTTGTTCTTTAAAACTATTTTCAAAAATATAAAACTAAACAGATTTTGTAACTAAAAATTTTTAAAAACACTTTCTTAAAACTCTTCTCAAAAATAATTTTTAAATAGGATTTTTTGAGATGCAAACCAAACAGGCTCTGAACTTCCTAAACTATCCTCAAAATCTAAGTTTATTTTCTAACTGCTCTTTGTACCCAACACCACCTAGCTTCAACAAATGCCCCCAATACAATTCTCCAGCTATAGTGATGCTCATAACCTCTTTTTCCTAGCTCTGATAGTATCCTTAACCCCTTTGCAGCTCCAATGGTACCCCCCTCCCTCTCAATGACCCTATTTTAGATTAGACCGACCATCCCTCACCCCCAATAAACACCAATTGTATCCCATAATCCAAAACCCACCTCCGACAACCCATAAATTCCATACTAGCACAATTACAAGTGGGTGTGTTTCGATTTTATTGGAGGAGGGAAGGGATTGTAGTTGTTTGGTGGTGGGTTTCGTGGAAAGGGATAGAAGGCAATTGTTTAGGGGCAAGGGTAGGGGTAGGGGTAGGGGTAGGGGTAGGGGTAGGGGTAGGGGTGGGCGTGGGGGTGGGTTTCACCAAAGGAAAAAGGGAGTTGGATTTCACCCGAAGAACTCGCCTGTTTTTTTGTTATACAAATACTCATATAAAGGTAGTTATGGACTTTTAATTAATTTTAGATAACGTGAGACTTTCGTGCTAAATTTTTCTCATTTTTAATGGTGGTCAACTAACGATAAGAGTTAATTAAAAATTATTCAAACGTTAAGGGAGTAAATTATTCTAAATTGAAAACTTAGAGAGTTAATTATGACATGATCTAAACTTGGAAAGAATATTTTATAATTAACCCAAAAATTTAATAGTAAAGACCACGATCACTAGACAAAAGGCTAACACATAGGACACTTTTGGATTGTTTTTCAAGGGGAGATTAGATTGGTTTTAACAATTTTTCACGGTTGAGATATCTTTAAATTTTATTTTAAAATTAATTTAATGGCGAATATTAACACTCTAAATTTAATAGAGAAAATAGGGCCCTAAGAGTGTGTTTGAGGTGATTTTTTAAAAGTTCTTCTGGAACTTATAACTTCTCATAAGTATTTTTTTTTTAAAAATAATCTTTAGAACCGTCTCACCACCACCACTACTATCGCCACTATTACCTCATCACCACAACTACACCCACCACCACCACCACTACCCTCATCACCATTATCACTACCACCACAACCACCTCTGCCACAATAATCATCACTACCACCAATGCCGCCACCACCCACAACAATCGCTATCTCACCACCACCACACAAAACGCCCCATGACCACCATCACGACGACGACCACCACCACCCAAAACGCCCCACGACCACCACTACCACTGTCACCGCCACCCTACCACAACTACGATCCTATTACCACCATCATCACTACTTTCAACATCCCCATTACCACCAAAACCCCTCACCACACCCCACGATCATCACCACTAACTCCACCACTGCCAACACTATCACCACCGCCACTGCCTCATCATCACCATCATCACCAACCATTGTTTGTTACCATTGTGTCGTCTATCGCCACCACGCACCACTATCGTCATCTCATTTTTATATTTATTACCACTACCACTGTCATCTCATTACCATTATCGCCTATCGTCAACACCCACCACCATTGTTACCCACCGTCACCCACCCCCTACCACATCTATCACCACCACCCCGTTATCATCCACCACAGTTGCCACCCACTACCGCCACCCACTGTCACTCACCCCCACCACACCTACCATCACTGCTATTCGTCACCACCCATCACAATGTCGCCCAGAAGCACCCGTCGTCGTCCACCACCATCATCGTCACCACCCATCACCACCACCTGTCATCGTCATCACCACTGTTGTTGCCCCCCACCATTACCACTGCCAACAATCATCACCGTCGCCCCACCACCACCCACACCCCTCCACCACCACCGTCGTCACCCATGGTTGTCACTACCACTATTGTCACCCAAAATTCACCATCTTCATCACCGTTGCAACCCACAACTATCATCATCACTGCGGTCGTCGCCACCTACCACAACCATCATCGTCTCCCACCAACACCATTACCACCGCTCACCCTCATTATAATCTATACTTAAATTTATTTTTCTCTTCTCTATATTTGTGATTTAATTTTGGGTATAAATACAAATATGTTTATTGTTAACCATATTTTTATTATTATGTCCCTTTAGGCACGGGCAATAACTAGT